GGGCGCAGGTTGCCGGCAAACTGGAAGGCGGGGAAGGGGTTGTACAAGCCGGTTGCTGGATCTGGTTCAGAAACTACTTTAGGAGTGAAGAGGTTGGCCAGGAAATTACTCTTCTTGTGAATAGTCTTGTGCTCGCTCTGTATCGGACCAGTCAGCATTCGCAAATCACCTCGAAAAGCGTTCAAACCCACGTGAGCCGGATGGGTCACGTAAGGTAGCCTACCCAACTCCGTTTGAAACAGTCCTGCGAGCAGAAGAAGCTATCCGTGCCCGCCTTGAGGCATGTCGGACACTGCAACGTGCCTGCGTTCTTGTCACAGTCCAGCCCCATGCATTTCCGCATTGCGACTTCCGCCATTTTGAGATCGAGCTATATCGCGAATGTAAGGGAATCAGGTAAATGACCGCTAGGAAAGAAAGAATCGAGAAAAATGGTCGCCGGAGGAATATAAGTTGGGCTAGAAGGGAAAAAATGGGACAATCCCCCGCGGATGGGCCTGGCGTGGCGTGGCGCTTATCCGCCCGGCCAATTCCAGGCACTCCATTCCCGCTTTGGGTTAGTGTGCTGTATAGTACTCTAGCCTGAAGCGGACTAGTGTATCCGGTCTTACCCTAAGTAAGCGCCAACAAGCGCGCGTAACCGGCGTCAAGGGTCCTCAATGGGACATGCTCGTTGGTCAATCAGTCCCGATGCTTATCGGCGGGGGGCGGCTAGAACAAACTCCTGTTGGCCGTAAAAATGTTCCACAGACCCACCGCCATATGGAAGAAAGAAGGAATGCGTGTGACGCAGCTGTCAGTTGCCATTTCAATATCAGTTTAAGCTCGGCCGATCTGCAGGTCTTTATACTACGCAGACTCAAGATCATCCTCAAGGCCCCCAAATCACATCAAGTGTCCAGGTAGACACTTGATCACGCACTCCGGTTAACATGGCGGAACCGTCTGCTGGACGACAAAAAGTGGTCATCGTGGGTGCTGGCCCGGTGGGGTCCCTGGCGGCTCTCTACGCTGCAGCTAGAGGCGACGATGTTGAGATGTATGAACTACGCGGAGGTTAGTCGCTATAAGCTGCCAGGTTATCCTGGATATCTTGATTCCTTTGCCATCCGACAGGTTTCGGTGACTATCATCATCGACCCCGCATCATCCTGATGACTCGATCTCTATCAAGAATGGGGCCATTCTCACACTACATGTTGATTTACAGATCTGCGCGATCCAAGCACGATTCCTTTGAACTTCACCAAGTCCATCAATCTCGCGCTCTCCGAGCGGGGAATCACTGCCATGCGGCAGGCGAATCGAGAGGAGCTCATCAAGCGCGTCCTCGCCGACGCCATCCCCATGCACGGACGTATGATTCATGGCCGAAGCGACGGCAAGCTCTGGGAAGCTGCGCAAACCTATGACGTCCATGGCCGAGTATGTCTTAGGTCCATTCATTTTCCAACAACTCCATCTAACATTGTCCTTAGGCCATCAATGCCGTTGACCGCGGCACTCTCAACAATGCCCTCCTGGATGAACTGTCGCGCACGCCAAACGTCAAGATGTTCTTCAACCACAAGCTCACCGGCGCCGACTTCCGCACCAACCGTGCCTGGCTCGAACGCCGCACTCCGGGCACCGCTTACACTCCGGAATCAGTGACCGAGATCGAAATCACCTTCGACTACCTCATCGGTGCCGACGGTGCCCACTCCGCCTCCCGCTATCATATGATGAAGTTCGCCCGAGTAGACTATCAGCAAGAATATATCGACGCGCTTTGGTGTGAATTCCGCATACCTCCACACCCGGAAACAGGAGACTTCCAGATCTCTCCTAACCATCTACATATCTGGCCGGGCAAAGAGTTCATGTTCATCGCGCTTCCATCAGCTGATAAATCCTTCACCTGCACGTTATTCGCACCGGCCTGGCACTATGAGAAACTGGAGAAGAGCTCACCGCAAGACCTTGTGACCTCCTTCGATTACAATTTTCCCGGCGTCTGTCCCAACTTGATTACGCCTGAAGCCCTATCCGAGCAATTCACCGAGAACCCACACCTCCCTCTCATCAGTCTGAAATGTAAACCACACCACTTCGGCTCCAGCGTAGTAATAGTCGGCGATGCTGCACACGCCGTCCTGCCTTTCTATGGACAGGGACTGAACGCCGGACTCGAAGATATTCGCGTTCTCTTCTCTTTCATGGATCAATACGGCGTCTATGACGATCATGTCAGTCCTACACCTGAAGCTCGAGCCTCTGCCCGTGCCGCAGCATTGCAAGCATACACCAACCAACGCACGGCCGATACATGGGCCATCAACGACCTGTCCAAGCAGAATTATCTGGAAATGCGCTGGGGAGTCAAGAGTCCCGTCTACAAGTTGCGCAAGACGGTGGAGGAGACACTAGACCGCTACGTACCGAGCCTGGGGTGGCAGACACAGTATTCTCGGGTAAGCTTTAGTAACCAACGGTACTCAGAGGTGATTGCGTCTGTGAAAAGGCAGGGGAAGCTGTTAGGTGTTGCTGGGCTGGGGTCGGTCCTGGTGTCGGTGATGATCGGGGCTGGGGTATTGATGAGATGGCCGGAGAGGTTGTCGTTGGGAGCTGTGTGGAGGACGTTATTCAGAAGAAATTGAGGAAATCCTCAGTATTTTTCTTTTGTTTGAGCTTTTTCTGCGTTCTAACAACGTGTTATGTAAGTATAGTTGATGTTTTTTGCTGCAAGACCCGACTGCATACAGCCATAGAACGACGCCAAAAGCACGTAAATCTGCATGATAAGTTTGTCTGACGATAGAATATGTCATCTTAACCTTCCTCCTCACATATATCAAGATCTTGTTCACCCCAAAGAACAGAACCACCAACTCCACTCACAACATCAGCACCAAAATGGACCCCCTAAGCAAGCTTCCATACGAGCTCCTCTCCCTAATCATCGACTACACAGCAGACTGGATCACGCTCGAAAGCTTCATTCAAATCTCCCCACCACTACACGACCTCTTCACCACCTCAGCAGCCCCCAGCACCTCACCAAAGAAACAATCACGAAGATCAGCACGAACATCATCCAAAGCCCACCGCGAAGCCATACGTATTGTCAAATGCACCCTCAAAAACAACCCCATCATGTCCGTTGCTATCCGTCGGCACTTCCACATAATCATCAAACTACGTCAATTTTCCTCGCAACCAGCTGTCAGACGCACCATCTGTTATACTACACTCCTATTAGGAGAAGATGATTCCTCCCTCTCCTTCAATTCACCACCAGCCCACACAACCCTCCTCGAAATGATCACCCTCGCAGCCAACATCCAGCGTCTAGCATGCGCATGTTTATCCACCCTCCTAACCCGGCTTCGGAGCGTTCATCCGCACCGCTGGACCAAAGAAAACCTAGATCCAAAGACAAGTGCATCCACAGAGACAGACATGGAACTGTACAAGCTACACGACGTGGGACCTCCCTCATGGCTCGAAGAGTATCGCATCTACCGTACGTTGTGGTTTCTACAGCTGAGATATGAATTGTTATCTGTTGGCAAGAAGCTGAGATTGTTCAATGATGCTCGACTTCAGAGAATGAAGGATGACTATATGGACATAGATACTGACGATGAGGAGGAGTTCAAGTGGTTAGGCATCAATTATCGCGAGATAAGAACTGTTGTTGGGTGGTTGGAGGGCTTAGATGAGAATTTGGATCTGTTCAAAACGGATGCAGGTACAGACACAGACTTTGACCTACAGCCGCGAGCTCAACGTCGACCATCTACAAGAGCCCTCGGCAAAATTCGCAAGTTACATCAGAAAGCCACGCAAACTCCACTACCACTACCTCCTAATTTATGCTTCAAGCCTTCCGACAACTGCACAAGAAGCACCGAGTTGCTTAATCCAAGCCGCTATAGCATGATCAGACCTGTCGGAGAAGAACAGCTAACCCGCGAGGATAACAACAACAACAACAGCAGCAGCAGCAGCAGCAGCAGCAGCAAGTCAATGTCCACGTCCCCACGCGGTTCCCTGCAGGACCTGTCACAGTCCTGGCACGCACTCGGCATGGCGATATGGGATTGCTGGCGGATGTATGGGCTGGGACTGACCCTGGTGAGGCGGGAGTGTTTGTCGGAGCAGGCGGAGTCTGAATGGGATGATGAACTGCCGATAGGCCCGAGGCCCGCGCGGAGGAAGGAGGAGCTTGTATGTAGGCTTTTGGACTTTTTGGAGGGGTGGAATGAGAATAATAGTACTAGTAGTAGGGAGGGGGAGAGAAAGAGGAAAAGGGGTGATTGGTATGAGTAGTGCAAGTAGTGAAACTGGAATAGTAGTAGAAGATATATATCATGATGAATAAGGGTGAACCCGCTGCTGATAAAATTGGTTTGATAGCAACTACTACAGCTTGAATGTCTCATAAGTACCATGACACGAGTTAATGCGATCAGATTCCAGTTACCATATGAAAATACTTTGGTAGTATGGACATGTTAGGACTATTGAAAGAAGATAACACTAGAGCAAGATGTTCTAGTGTAACAGGTAGTACAGTTATCTCTGTCACATATCAAATGACAGACACTACTAGATACTTACTCACTAGGCTAGTACAATTACTCCAGAAAGAATGCTAGTGATCATCATGCACTTCCTTCTGGGTCATGCCTCAGGCTGCCCGCTGACCTCCAAAGCAATGATTTGTTGGGCCTGTAAGTCGCCCAGTTCTCGTGGTTCTGTTTGGTCGCGTTGTATTACGTATGTTTTTGAAGAAAGGTAAGAAGTGGCGCGCCAAGTACGGTGGCTCTTTGAGGAGGTCGGGGGTAAGATGTACCTGGTTCGTTAGTAAGGGCAGTAAGAATGATAGCCGTCTGTTGATTGCCAGACTATCTTGATTGAGGCACGGGCTGGTTGAGAAGCACTAGGGGTTTAGAAAAAGGCCCCTTCTGTCTCTATGCCTGAGGCCAATCTTGGCCGATTATCATGTCCGGACAGAGAAGGCGCATAACAGACTATTGATTCTGCAGGAATTTTTCCCCAATGTGGCCCCATGTCTTTCCACCTCATCTCCCTCCAGCAAACGCTCGTATGGCTCTATAGTGTGAAAAAAACACTGTATTCCCGCTTCGTAGAGTCCAAAAAGTATTTGTATATGTCCCTGAGAAAGACACAAAGTCTGGCTGCTGACAACGCTTTATCAGTGCTAGTGGACAATTCAAAAATGGACCAAGCACTGAGCCAGCGCAGAGTTTCATATAAGTGTTCAGCCTGAAAAGCCAACAGAACGCAATAAACATGACAATTCAACAGCCATGTAACCTCTAGATCAACGGAAGTCGACCGCAGTGCAAAAAACAAAAGGCCACCCGGATCAGCCAAAATGAGCTGTACAACATGATATTGAAGGAGAAACATAAGGAATAGACAAATCTTCAACCCATACCAAGGCATAAGGTTCAAAAGCATATAACGGCACCAAAAGTATAATCTAAAGCCGAAAGGTAATCTGATCATGGAAATCCAGACAACATATAAAAAGAGACAAATAAACCCGAGGAACACACGAGAAACCTCCATAACGGCATAAAAGAAGCCCTAATATCACCATGGCATACTTCATCATCATCCAATCAAAGGGGATCTATTGAACCAAACTTGTTTAAAATCTCGGCCGGTCATGGCCTGAGATCATCGAATCGGCCAATCCGGTAGTACTGGGGAATCCATATCCAGGGGCCATATGTGGGACGCTTGGACAAAGTCAATCCATCCGTAAGGGTAAGGTAAAGGTCCGCAGTTCCGCTTAAACAATGGACGGGTAATCCGGATATTCCACGGGCACTGTGTTTGTTCTCCTTGGGAAGTCTCCTTCCTGGGAACAACCGTCCAGAGGTGCGGAGGGGTAAACCACAAAAACAGGAGCATGGCGGTCTGCACTTGGTCCATGGGAAGGCAGGATAGTGTGGCCATAACTCAAATCATCATCATCATCATAATTTAGGCAAAGGCTGGCAAATACCCTAGTTCATGGGCTGGCAAATTTGACGCGACGGCTGCGTCGATCATGGATGCGTTTTTCTGTATCAAGATAGAGGCGGTCAAGGAATTCCATGGCATTGGCATCCTTGAGAATCTTGGCCACCTGCGTGCCAGCTGAGATAAGCTGAAGAACATTCCGATCATCCTTGATGGGCCGGGATTGATGCTTGGCGGCATGTCTCATCTCCAGGGAATTCTCCAGAACGGTCACTAATTGCTTGATCTGGCCATTATACAACACCCGGGCTGGGATACGACGCTTGGTCGCCAGTCTCTTTAGGAGATATACCCACTCGGTCCACTCGCGGTCAGAAGGAACTCTCACCGGTCTCTTGTCCGGTTCCAGTGGAATCGGAAATTGATACTTTGCAACAAAGTCAAAGGCACACTGTGACAGTCGGTCGTTTACTGACGACAGGATTTGATCTTGCTCTGAGACATCTAGATTAGTAGGTAGATGAGGCAAATCCCTCCCTTGGGCTGCTATGACCCGCGGTGACGGTGGGTCTAGCAACTGATGGGGTCCGTCGAACTCGTCACGATTAGACGGCCGTCTCTGCGAGTGATACCGGGTAGCGCCTTTAGGCTTCTCCGTTGCGCGTCGACTGTTTCTTTCAATCAGGTACTCCGAAGTTTCGTAGGGTCTGACTAGGTCGTAATCACGCCTAAGTGACTCCGCTGGGAGGCGAGCAGGGTGGTCCCACTCTGGGTACAGAGCTGTGGGGCGTGGCAAGGCACCTCCTGCAGACACGGGAATGGTTCCCAGTGCATGTGAGGTCACTGGAAGTCCGCTGTATGGCATAGCAAATTCCGACGAAACTGGTTTGTTGGGCTTGACAGGAGCCTGAGTATCTATGGGTCCACGCTCAATATGCGGAGGGGAGAACCTTCTAGCGCTAAGGATGAGTGACATGAGAGTCTCAGTATGACAGATTCTGCAAAGAAAGGAAGCAAAGCCGATACAAGATAGTGACAAGGTACCTTGGATGATAGATCACGGGCGCCTCGCCCGAAGTCCCGTATACGGACGGTTGTTGGGGCATGATGCCACTGTACAAGGTGAGCTTCCCCCGACGACATCACCAGGAACAAAATAAGGAGAATATTGCATTGGGGCTAACCTGTGGCGAGACCACGAATCATCACTGCTGATGGAATGTGTGCAGGAGCCGCTGCTCCCGGATGCTCGTGAGAAATAACTGAGACCTGAAGACATTGCGATCAATGAGGGTGAAAGAACCGTGGACATGAGGCTGATGATTTATATAGAAGAATGAACGGGTATACACAATGGCGAGGCAACCTCAGCCTGTTCAGTCCAGACCTTTCAGAATGGTGCCTGACAGCGAGTAGAATGGGGCGTTTTATTATAGCAAAGTAGCAGATAATGTGGGAAAAGAAAATAAAATAAGAGGGTGGATGGCCCACGGCACCAGATAAGCTTTTAATTTCAAAGGCCGCGTGAGATATGGCAAGCTGGAAGAAATATGAAGAACTCCACTGTCAGTGGCAATAGGACTGGATTGCTCAAGGCCGGGCTCCGCTCTGTCAGGGAGCAAGCGCGTGCCGGAAGATACCTCGTACTATACGGAAAACAACGAATCTATCTTGCTTCCAGGGCCAATCGAGCCAGGTCTCCACCGTGCCTCGCCGACAGGGTTGAGGGGGATCGATTGAGCCAGAGACGTCCGGGAGAACAAGGGACGATGAAGAGCAACAAGGAAGTCCGCCGGCGCAGCAGCCAGACAATAACTCCCGGAGCTAGACGCCCTGCCAGTCTTCCGTGCAATCAGTGGAGCTGCACCAGGCATACTGGGGTACATAGCCATGGATGGACCCGGCAGTAAATCGCAGCGAGACTCCACCAGCGGGACATAGCCAACTCCTGTATGTTGATCTTGCCCTCAACCGCGCATGTCAGGACAGGAAATGAGGAGTCGAAGGATCCGGTGCTGCATAGGGTTTTGGGCAGCAACCGTAGGACTCGGCAGGGAACATGCGTCCGCTGGGCATAAGGACGAGAACATTACCTACTATTATTCACGGCCTTGGCCCAATTGCCAGTCAGTCCATTTGCTGATGGAACATTGCGGGTAAGGGGCTTTTGTTTTTTTCTTTGGGAGGGGGGAAGTTAAAGGGAATAAAGTTACTGGGCACCGTGTCAATGGTCCCATGCTCTCCACCCACATCGACTGGGCCTTGATTGGGATCCAATTGTGGACAGGGACGAAGAAGGAGAACAAGACCAAGGCCGATGATGAAGCGGAGGTTGCAGTGGGAAAGAGAAGCAAACTGCGAATCACGGGGCGGACGGCGGGGACTGGCCTGGGTGCCTGAGTCCACCGGTCGAGGGCCAAAATAGACCCGATCTTCTTTTCCCCATCGGGACTTTGCTACCGCATCTACCGTCATTATTCTTACTCCACTCCAGATCGTTCTTTTGGCTATGCGCATATCGTTGTACTCCATGGTGCTGGTGAACCGAACCATAGTCTGGCGCTTGTCCAGTCCATCTCAAGCTCCAACTGGTAGACATCTAGCCCTTGTCTATCTACGGATCCACCCCCACTGTTGAGGATGCGCTACTCGTATTTGCTCTACAGCTGCCTATGCTGGAGGGAAGGACCCAGTTCAGTTCAACTACCACAGAGATTTGGTGTATATATTGTGGAGTGGATCGGGAGCACACACACACACCACGGTCAAGGACGGATGGCGGCCTAAAGTCGAGAATCCACAGGGCGGGGAGCTTCAGGTTCCCGGCCTGAAATGTCACTGCTCCTCGATGAGTTGGGCACACACAGCTGCATGTTTTGTCGCCCAAACTCAGGGCGTCCGTGTCAGCCAATACTCCTTTCCCGACGCTGACTTGATGAAACTACTTCTTCGTACGAGGTCACTGACGTGCAAACAGCAATCGAACTAATGATAGATCATGAATAGGGAAACTTACCACCCCGATCTATTGAGGGGATCCTTGGCTACTTGCCTATATTCTGGATACCCTAAATGACCCCATCTGAGCAAACAATGTGCCGAGGCAAATAAGGGGAAACCTTGGACAAGAAGAATCCAGAAGACGAAGCGACCAGGGCCTTTTCTCGTGGATCAAACCGATTACTCGATTAAATTGAACCAGCACAAGCTGTGAGACATTGCCGGGTTGCGTATGGTGTACATCATTGCGACCCAACGGAAAGTCGCTGAGGTAACCTCCCGAGTAAAGAGTGTGGATGATTCGTGGCGTCTGATATTGCTTTGAAGCTCACCCGATATCATCTCGGTAGTCACAAACGCCTGGGGTGTCCTGCCCTACCCACCGTGGTTTCACAATCCCACCAGACCATGCCCCCTTCGTCCTGACCAGCATTCCTGCTACCTATCTCGTTGGTACATCGACGATAGATTAATGGGTCATGGTGATCTCAAGTCAGTATCCGGACAGCCCGGAGATAACATCGCTGGCTCAATCCAGACGCACTGCGCATCAGACTTGGTCCAAATTCCTATGACTAACATTAGAAGGTCTGACATCCTCCCATTGCACGGTGAGGTGTTGGCAATGGCAGCAGAGTCCATGCACCAACGGGAAAGTATAAACTGAGAACTACTATTGTATCGGCTACTCAACGGGGACTCTAGGAGTTCTAACAGGAAGAAAATATTCCGTACTCGCCAATATTGCATGGCGAACCTGCTGCTTATATAAGCGCCGCCACGACAGCTGAGCCATGCGTAAGGCAGCTTCATAAACCGGTGCACTAATTCGATGAACGGTCAAAGCGAGACAACCGCCGCAAAAGAGACCCATGGGAAGGAGCTCACATGCACATGGATAACAGGATATTGTCAGCAGACACTGCTAGATGCAAGCAGCAGAATCTACTGGATCAGGCAGGTCGGTGTAGAGCTGCAGCAGCATGCCATAATCATCAAAGCACTCTGATTTCAAGGTGCTCACAGGCGGAGCAGTAAGCCATCGGACACTACCGGGTGATTCTGTATGTCGATAGATGACCTGGCCAGCTGCAACTTGTTGAGAACATCGTAGTAGTAGAGGGGTTGATCCTTGTAGATGTGCACGAAACCCTGCCTGGATACGAGAATGTCTTCCCGAGTCATTCACCGAGCTCTAAACCTGTTGCTTGGCTGTCCCTGAGGTTCGTTGAACCATAGCTAGGCGGTCTCCAGTAAACAAAGACCAGAGCAAGATGGACATCACGAGCAGCTAGAACCAACACCTACAATGACCATCGGCCCCAACCAAGCCATCATCACTAGCAGCCAGCACAAAAGATAAGAAAAACAGGCCTTTAAAATGGTAGATCGTACATGAAGTCACCTAGTTACTATACAAGGTATCCATCCCAAAGTCGCGACATAAAACATACAAAGCATGGGATGAGACACAGCGCGACTGACCAAACTCCGCTATAAATGCAAAACCACAAGAATCAAAAGTAATCCATCTATCATCCTCCCCTCTCCGTATAAAGTCCTTAGCGAATACGGCACAAGACCAACCCACCCAGCTTCTTCTCCACACATTCCCTAGCTTCCAAGATACCCCGGTCCGTGGAGATGTACAAGCTCTCACCAGGCGAGCGGATTCCCTCAACAGTGTTATCCCGCTCACCGCGAATCACCCGACGCAGACCAGCCACATCGATCGTCACTCGTCGTGTCGGTTTGCTAACCATGCTCAACTTGCCCAGCACGGGCTCGCTCTGCCAGTACTTCAAGCCAAGCCAGAGTCGTCGGGTAGCGACGTTACTTTGAGTCACGGGCTCGATGCCTTCGACCTCATCGACTGGGTTCGGGTTGCCGAGGATAGGGTGTACAGGGGGAGGAGTCGGGCCTCCGCGGACGACGGAGGAGAGGTAGCCGTCGTTTTGGAGCGCGAGGGCGAGTTTCAGGTGGAGCTTGGAGTTAGGGATGGAGGTGAGGCCGAGACGGGCCTTGCAGGCATTGTTCAGGTGCGAGCAGACGTGGGCGAGGTTGACGAGAGACATCTTGACAAGAGGTTTGGCCCGGGGGCCTGTGGTGTGCGGAGGACGGGGATAAGGTGACTGGGTCGGAGTAAGCAAACTTGCGCGGCGACTGAAGCTGGTGGGGGGGTTGGGTGTACCTGTTGCGGTGGGCGGAGAAGGTCAATGAAAAGATAGTCGAATCTCTATCGATTCAATCTAGAACAGCAGCAGCAATGGTCGGATTTGAGGTCCCGCTGGCAGACAATCTCCGATGATGCGGAAGCTCAGATGAAATTTTCGGAGGAACATAATCGCGGCGCCGATAGGGTTTTATGCCTCAGGCATCACTGTTTCTTGTGACATCTCCGGCGGCAGCGAATCAGCGGCCAGAAGCGCTCTCAGCCGCTCTGTAGCCGCCGGGCTTCTGCATCACGCTGCATCGCTGCATCTTACAGGCCGGTGTGACTTCCCCTCTTGTCCAGGTATAAATCATGGCGCTGTCGTCTCCCCCCAATTCCCGCTTCGTGCGGAATTCATCATCTTTTCTTCTCTTCTTCAACACGCCCTGGTGGCCTTATCGACGTTGATCGCCCATTATGCCGCCGTTATCGGGTGAAGAGCGTATACTAACTGTGTGAGTAGCGCTACCCCGCAGATCCCAGCTGCTGCAGCTGTATCACATCTGGTTGCTTGGAGTTGCTAACCGCCGTGTAGCTTTGCGGATATCCATTATTATTTTGCAGCGCCATGTCCGAAGCCTGTCCACCACCGGTTTGATAAGGGTTGCTATCTATATCTATATCTCAACAGCGCTCTGCAGAAGATCAGGATTGAGGTCGCGAACAACCCAGGGACTCCAGAGCAGGATGCTTTCAATGGCAGTTAGTACTCACCTCCTTGGTGATGCTGATTTATCGCTAAACGCCTATAGCTCTGGACAATATCCATCTCCGACATTCAACTAAATTCCCGACTCTCTGCACTGTGACCGTGGACGGACAAGTGCCGAGTCCACCCCAAGGCCAACCTGCATTTCCGCCGCCACCAGGTGCCATTTCAAGCGAATGGCAACTGCCTGGTAACGATTCCCCGGCCCTATTCCGCCTGCACACCCTAGACATATATTTCTGGACGACGGAGGACGTCAATCAGTTCCTAGATCTGGTGGAGCGTCATCTCTCGCAGTCACAAATCGAGACAGACCGACACCCCTTTCCGCCTCCACCACAAAGCACCGTCAGTTCTGTTGTGCAGCAGCTGGAAAATGTAGCCATCACCGATCCTGGCTACCAGAATGGACAGACTCGCAATTCTCAAGCCGAGGTTGTGTCTAACCCCGTGCCTAGCTACCAAGCCATTACGCCACCGAGCAACCTCCCTCCTCCCCCTCCACTAGGCGGCTTAGCTACAACTGCCCAGCCAGTCATGCCTGGAATACATTCCGTAGCCAGCGAACAACAGGATACTACTCCGCCGGAACCAACTCCCGCCCCTCTACCCTACAATCCCGCTGCACCCCCAGCGCCAGAGCCTATCAGGCACCGAGAGAAGACCCCTCCCCCAGAGGACGCAGAAACGGGGACCGGCCTTGCGGCAGCTGCAGCTGTCGACAACGGTCTTGCTTATCCTCAATCCTCCCAAATGCCTCCGGGGGTAGCCGCCACAGCAACAGCACCATCAGCAACAAGAGGTCTATCCGCCCCTCCACCTCCTCCAGGGCCCGCCCCGCCTTACAGCATGCCTGGGAACTACGTGCCCCCTGGACCTCCGAGTGCTGGCCTCTCCTCATTCCCAACCTCCATGCCTAGCCCAGGTCTGCCCTCCTACTCTGCCTCGTTCCTATCAGGCGAGAGCCTCAGCCATCCCATGGGTACAAACCAGTCACTCCCAGGGCCACCACCGCAGCAGCAGCAGCAGCAGCAGCAGCAGCAACGCATGTCCTTCGCCCCGCCTCCCACTGACCCTAACGCTCACCTCTACGGCGGAGGCGGAGGCGGAGCAGGAGCAGGGCCTACTCCCGGCATATACAGAACGTCAACGGACTCATCGTCAACATCTACCCCACCGATGCAGTTGTCGCTAGGCGGATATTCGACCTTCTCGTATGAACAGCAGGGACCGAAGCGAAGCGCAACGGTGTCAGGGAACGAGTATAATGTTCACAATCAATTGTATCAGCCGACGGCGCAGGAGTCGATCTCCCCGCATCAGAAGTATGCCAAGGAGGCGATGGTCAAGCCGGGGGATCCGCATCGGCCGCAGTATTTTGTGAAGAGTGCGTATAAGGTGGAGCATGGGGTGAATCGGTTTTTGAAGAAGTTGGAGAAGAAGTTGTAATCCCCTCATTTCTACGTCTTGTTATGGCACGATGACGGTTAATGGTCTGTTTATACTGGCGTTGAGTGCTTCTTCGACATAGTATATCATCTGTCTTACACGTTTGATTCCACAGCGATTAATTTCATTCCATACATGTTCAATCACTTCATCTAAATTATTTCCGACCAACATATCACTCCTCAACATGCAACCACCTAACAAAGAGAAGAGATTTTCATTACTAACTACCCCTAACTTAACCATCTTCATACCCCCCCTCCTTCCTAAAATACAATCAATCCTAATCCCTAACAAACTAAACAAAAGGATCCACCCCACCCTCCCTCCACCTCCTAAACTCCAACACCCTCTCAACCTTCCCCGCGACCTCCTCACCCCAAATACTCTCCACCCAAGCAAACATCAAATCCACACCGGCACTCACACCAGCCGAACTCCACACCTCTACACCCACCCCATCTCCCTTCGCAGTAGACTTATCAACCACCCACCTCGCCTCCCTCACCCACTCCACGCCAGGAGCATCCCTAACCACACTCTCCCAATCATTCTTATTCGTCGTGGCCCTCTTCCCATCCAGCACGCCCGCCCTAGCAGCTAGCTTTCCACCCGTACACACTGTCAAGAGGTACTTGAGGGACGGGTAGACGGAGCGGATGTACTCGATGTGTTCGGGGAGCGGGGCGCGAGTGCCCCAGCCTCCGGGGATGAGGAGGACGTCGAGCGGCGGGGCAGAGGTGAGGGTTGCTGTTGGGAGGATGCATTGGGAGAGGGCGTTGGGGAGGGAGGGGGGGAGGGTGGATATGGGGGTGAGGGTGGTGGAGAGGAGGGTTAGGGATATGGGTGGAGTTGGAGTTGGAGATGGGGAGGTGGGTGAGGGAGTGTTGATGGACCAGGAGAGGACGTTGAGGACGTCGAGGGGGCCGAAGACGTCGAGGGCTTGGAAGCCTGGGAAGAGGAGGACGCCGATGCGGAGGGGTGGTGATGTAGTTGTTGTGGTGGGTGAGTCTGGAGTGGTGGTGTTAATGTCAATGGTAGTTGGGATGTGGAGGGGAGCGGGGGAGGAGGGGAAGTACCTGTCATAGTGGGGTGATAGTATAGTAGTTGAGATTGGAGAGATGGTTATGGCGGTGATGTGAATAGTAGTTGTGAGATAGGATTAGACAGGTGAGTCAAAGAGGATAGATGGCGCCTTTAATACTCCAGTGCTCACTCCTGTTGTTATTATAACTACTTACTATAGAAGGAACGAAGTACGCCAGGAACTAATCCAATCCAGAATAAACAGGTACAGGCACGTGCTATTCTGTTCCGTGAATCACCGCAAATTAATCTGACCTCAGCAGCTAGTAGAGCAGTATTGAGCATATTTATTCACCGGATACCCAGTTAGTAACTATTTACTGTGTGCATGTACGGCTTGAAATCCGCTTCGTGAGCTGACTATCTCTCTGTGGTCTGGTGATGATGCTATCCATCACATGGTAAGTTGATTTTAAATCGGATCGAATGGCATTGGATTTGGAGTCAATAAAATAGAATCAGTAATTTGAGGTGGAGAGAGGGAAGAATCCTTTCATGGGCGAAGGATCATACTGCTGTACCGTGTAGGGCGTAGCATGCAGTCGAGCGCATTATTAGTAAATATGTGCTCGGCGTTCTCCCAAGGTATAAGCTGTGGCGGTCTAGAACAATGCACGCTGTAGCTGTGTTCTACTTGGCTGTTGGCTTGATCGTGAAGGTCTATCATAATTATCTAGGTGAATTGGCCTGCTGTGTGTACTGGCATGGTATGATAAGATTAACAAACTATCATTTACTGAATACCAATAATTTACACCAAAGCATAAAATAATCAAGGATAAGAATATGCCAGAGGACCCAGTACTATGCAAGATGCAGTACTCCGTACACATCGCTAAGATCACATCCGAATCAACTCCACCTGCAATGCTCCGACATGCACGTCGTCGGTCTTGTTCGACTGTCAATAAGGGGCTTTCCACACCAAGATCCCGAAAGATAACCCGAGACCAAAATGGAAGACAGAGAAGCCAAGAAGCAGAGAAGAAGGGTAAAGCCCAACAATAAAATCAGTATCAAGAACACGTGGAGACAAGCATATGTACCTGGTCGCATCACGATTATCAAGGGTATAAAAAGATATGTCACGAGAAAGAAACGAGAAGAGAAGAATCTATTTTAACTGGTCAAGTGCTCCGCAGAAAGTCAGTTGAGAGAGAGCTTGCCCATGTCAACATCAACCTCGCCCGACTGGGCCTCGACAACCTCAGGAGCCTCGGCGACAACCTCAGTGGAAGCCTCAGTAGATTCCTTAGCAGGAGCTTCGGGCTCAGTGACCTCCTTAGTCTCGGGCACCTCAATGGCTGGCTCTTCCGTCGGCACGGTGATCTCGGCAACGGGCTCGGTCTCAGCAACCGCAGGGAGGTCGGTAGCTTGTTCCTCAGCAGCTTCAGCAACCTCGGTAGCATCGACTTCAGGGGCAGCCTCGGCGACGGAAGCAGCAGCTTCAGCTTCAGGCTCGACAGAGGTCTCAACGGGCTCCTGAACAGGTTCCTGCACAGGTTCCTGCGCGGGAGCTTCCTCGACAACCTCGACGGGCTTCTCTGGGATAGCAGAGGCCTCAGAAACGACCTCGGCCGGCTCCTCGGCCTTCGCCTCAGGCGCAGGCTTCTCCAGCGGCTTGCCTTGCTCGACCTTGGTCGGACGGGACGTGCGGGTATCCAGCTTAGAGGGAACTCGTCTAGGCGCCCGGGCCGGCTTGGTGGCCCGCGGGGGGCTCTTGACCTCAACCTTGTCGTGCGTCTTACTAGCAGAGCTAGCTGTGGGGCGCATCATGCGAGCCAGGAATCCCTCGTCAACCGGTCTGGAACTCGTGTTGCTCACACGGGAATGAGGGCGTTCGCTTCCGCTAGGAGGGGAGGTACGAGACGACGGCTTGCGCACGGTGGAAGCGGTCGGAGTGATCGCGCGCTTCTGGGTTGCAGTGGTCGAGCTCTTCAGCGTGGACGGCTTGCGCGTCAGAGTAGACGTGGTGGTCTTCTTGGCGGTAGACGAAGTCGAAGCCGTTGTCGAAGCCGGGCGAGTGGGGTTGGCGGCCGCTTTGGTGGTGCGAGATGCGGTCGAGGCTGTCGGCTTCGTCAGGTCGCGGGCAGGCACAGAGGGCCGTGCAGGCTTGGTGACGGGCTTCGTCGCAGTGTTCAAGGATGTCCGGCTCGGCTTGTGTGCGACTTTGGGGGCTTCAAGGGCCGCAGTCTTCGTCGCCGTCGGCCGGACTGCCCGTGTAGTCCGAGTAGTCTTGTCCTCGGTTTTGGCGGGAGAGGTGGGGGTACGGGGTTGCGCTGGCGACTTGGAAGCAGGCTTGGGTGCCGTCTTGCCCACCTGGATAGTGGAAGGTCGCTTTGTGACTGTCTTGGTCGGCGTCGGCTTGGGGGTGGAGACCTTGCTGGCCTTTACAGGAGAAGCTGGGGCTGGCGTAGCAGCAGGAGCAGCAGCAGCAGGTGCAGGGGTCTTCTCGATGACCTCTTCTGAGGGCTTTTCGGGCTCTACCGGGGCAGGCTCAACTTTCTCAGACACATCATTCTGCGATGTCTCCGAGGCCGCAACGGGCTGTTCGGTGATCTTCTGAGGGAAGCCGTTGTTGGTTGGTGACACAGACAACGGACTTCTCAAGCCACCCTCGAAGTCCTCCGAATTGAAGCTCCTGACCCGAGAGGGAGCAGCAGGGCTATCGCTGCGACCACTCACACTGCGAAGCCCTGCGACAGGGTTCGGCTGGGTGGCTCCATCGACAGCGATAAAGCTGGCGCGCACTTTGGACAAGGGTCTGGTAGTTGCGGAATGTTCGGAGCCAGCGGGAGATCGACCGCGGGAGGGAGGGGAAGTAGTGCTGTTCTGGTTGTTCTCGAACCTAGCGAGAAGGTTGCGCACACCAGGATGGCCGCCTGTCTCGTTCATGATGGCGGCTCGTTTGGGCGACAAGTGGCGGAAGCGGGAGGTCAGCAGAGGGTATTGATCGTGACGGATGGGACTGGGGAGGGGAGAATCGGAGCTCGAGGGGTTGGTCAAAGAATCGACGGAGGTGGAGATGCGAAGAGGAGATTCAGCGCTTCGCACGGATGAAGCGAAGGAATCGGAGGGCATTCACAAGGATGAATGAACGCGTCCCAGAAAGAGGAGGGACGGGGTGACGTGAGATAAACAGTAGGCCCAATCTGTTAACAACACGCGGGAGGCAAACAGTGGTTCGGTAGTGGGGGGGAACAAAGTCAATGCAGGTGAGACAATGTAACCGCGGTGGACACAACCATGGTGGACAAAGAGGGGATTGGAGTGAGGAAGCTGTGAATAGAGAATGAATGAATGAATAGTAGGGGGGGATGAGGATGAGTAGGTGAGAAGAGAGGAAAAGAGGGAAGAAGGAGAAGAAGAGGAGGAAGAGGAAGAAAGAGAGACACTTCCAACTAAAGAGAGGAAAGTGGAGAGAGAGAGAAAGCAACGAGGCCCCGACGCCTGAGGCAGCGGGTTCAGGGGTCGGATCCGCGGCTTCAAGTTGATGGCGCTCCGTCTCAGATTCGTTTTCTCGTCGGTCTCTGCCTGGATGGCCTTACGTATTATTGAATAATCACCACCAAGAATACCTAATAATCCCTCTCTTCCTTTTGGTGGATGCTTGACTCCCCCCCCCTTGACCTGATAGTCTCCGGCACTATTGACCTCCCCCAGGGAATGACTCTCATCCTTTCTTTTGCGATCGACGGAATAATCGGCACCAACTCCTTGCAAAGTTCATACACAGTCAATACTGATGCGATGCTAGTGATGATCCTATTGCTGAGGTGGGATGAAACAGTCCTCTTACCAGCTGAAACCCATGCCTCGTACTACGTATACAATCATTCTCATCACAGCATCATCAATTCAATTTGACTGTTTGTCATGGTCACCATGGAGCCCCGACTGACCGGGACATTTCCTGCAATCTCCTGCACTTCCCCCCGATCGTCTCCCTTCCCCCCCACGCCCCTAAAAAGGCCAGCTTGCAGTTCCTTGCAAGTTGCGACACAAGTTTAGCGAAACCTTGATCGTGCATCCCGATTGTCCCAAACCTTAGTTCACATGCTGGCCTCTCGATCTTGCATCCCTTCCGGTGGCAAAATCCAGTTTCATCATCCCCGTCAGCCCACAAATGGTTGGTGTGGTAATATTACTGTGTAGAGATACTAGTTGTTGCTGTGTTCGTGGACAGGTTCCTGGATGACGCATTCCCCTAGGAAACCCCTGGTGGATCAGGGATGGACGCGAGGATGCTAACGGCGACCAATTTCCCTCTAGTGCCATTCTAGTCCTTCTAGAGCATTCATGGAATAATCAAAGGATGCTGTTAGTGCTTTCCTTTAATTACCCCGGTGGGTTCAGATGCACTGACCTCCTCACTCTCTCTCTCCCTTTCCCTCGGACATGACACATGGCAGTAGTCCCAGCTTGTGGTCCCCCCCCCCCCCCCCCCGCCTGCTGACTGCAGTCCCCCATGGCACGGCTGTCTCCCTTGTCGTCAGCAATATGAACAATCAATTGATTGTAGTATTGCGTATAGAGTGAAAAAAGGGTTTCCGCAGGGCCTTGCCCTGACGCAAACAAGGGCGACGGGGAAGCTGTGCCAGACTTCAGTGGAAAGATCAAAGCGCCCCCACCCGCGGGATGAACCTTATAACGCAGGGGAGTCCGACTCAACCATGGAAACGCCCCAAAGCTGGCCGTCAGACCGCTGTTACCATTGCCCAATTTTCCACTATATGCACTGATAACCGGAAATATAATCATCAATAGATAGAAATTAAGCAAGGACTTTGACCACTGAGGTCCAGGCTCAAGCTAAATATGTAGTTATTGCAGGTAGGCCTCCACTGCGCGTGACTGACACACTGGGCTACAGGCGTCTGTCAAGCCAGTTCGTTTGGATAAAGTATGCGGATGACAGTCAAGAATGTGAGCATGTTTCGAATCAAGGAAGTTGATGCATCCTGGGGAGCTTGATCATTTTGCGTAAAGTCGTATCATCATGGGAACTTGCCTCGTCGGCACCACCAGGTAGTATCAGCCAATGTATTTTGCTACTTAGTGCAAGGTCAAAGGCAACTGATCCAGGTGTTGTGGTACCACATGTACTTGTAGCATCTGCTTATATGCAAGCAAGTGTTGGTTAAAAATGTCTTGGACATGTCACAAAATCCCAACTTAAACGCTCTTATCCTATCGGTGTTGGTGGAAGTTGACCTGATAAGCTCTGGCACATCTTGTTGAGTCGTGCGCCGTGCAACACTACTGCCCTCATTCGCTACTAGTTACAGAAGCACAACAGAAAACTAACAAATCATTTCATTATGTCCAAGGCTTGATGTACATGACTTAGCAGACTATCCCAATAACATGCATAGCTAACCAGAATATATTGCAGACTTTTTCATGCATAGCGAACAACGTTCCAATGTTTCTCATGTACCAAACGCACTACAGCAACTCAGCGGGATCAGAAGGCAACGACTCTGGCATGATACCAGCATCTGCATCTTCCAGGTCATCGGTGAGTATCCCTACCCCACTGTCTAGTCGCTTACGATGTTTCCCCCGGCCAGCTTCCACGTCGACAAACCTTGTCATACTGACCGGTGTGATGGGCTCGATATTCAGGCCATCTGATGATTGGATCTCATCCGAACGTAGCTCCCAGTTCGCAGTGCGAACTCTGGCTTTCCGTCGCTCGCTATTGACGGTTTCCTTCATAATAGCAAAAGACCGCGCTTGCTCTGCAGCCCATTTATCCAGCAGGCTGTCCCTTGCTTCAACTTCGAGGCGCAGCTGCTCCTCCAGGCCAGTGTTACTCCAGCGAAGTCGGTCAACATCTGATTTGGCTTCCTCTAGTGACGTGTTGAGCTCCGAGACGAGGACATTCATCGACCCCACTTCTTGTTCAAGGCGCTGTTGCTGCTCCGTTGCTTCTTGCTCCAGATCATGTATCGTTTGCTGGCGCTCAGCTTCGAGCGACTCAATCTTGGCTGTGAGGTCACGCACACTGGTGCGATTTTGTTCAAGGGCCTCCTCCAATTCCCGGATGCGAGTTTCCCGCTCCACGACGGTTGATTCGGCAGTACGAAGGGAACGGGCCTGCTCGTCCAGCTTTTGCTGGAGTTCGTCCACTTCCTGTTTGTGTGACTCGTTATTCTTCGTCTTATCATCCTCCAGTTCAGTTACTAGGGCCTCTAGTCCTTTGACTTCCTCATGGTACTTGTCGAGGGCCGCATTCAACCGCTGAATGCTGACAGCTTGTTCCTTTCCTTCGCATTCAAGCTCCTGCATACGCATTCGTGTGTGAAGCATGTCTCCAGCGGAAGAAGCAATAGACTCTTCCAAGTCATGAATCTTCTTCGATGCTCCCTCATATCGAGCCAACAGGGTATCGAATTGACCCCGAAGTGCGTTCTCCCGGCCTACGGAGCCTTCCAGTCGTTCCTGCTCGTCCCCAAGGCTCTTGACGAGTATCTCAACCCGCTTTACCAAAGCACCAAGAGTTGCTTTGCCATCACTGAGACTAGCGTTGGCGGTCTCGCCAGGAACTGCGCGTTCGAGTTGAAGGCGCGCGGCGCGAAATTGATCGCGCATCGTAGAGATGATTTCCTCAGCGTTGTTCCCAGGAAATCCGAGACCCGACAACTCTTCCTTAACGTTGTCTAGTGCTTGGGCGACATCAGAAGCACGCCGCAGTGTCTGGGTCAAGGTAGGCAGAACGTGATCCAAGAAGTCTGGCGGCGGAGAGGACTGGCGAAGGAGACCTTCAACTGCAGTTCCACTAAACGAAGCGACACGGGCGCGACAAGCGTCAAACAAGTCACGCTTTTCCTTCCTGGCAGCTGCGAGATCGGCTGAAAGCGCAATAATCTCTGCCTCCTGCCTGTAATCAGGTATGGATGCCTGAGTCGACGCATCGGTATTCACATGTCCTTGGCTCAGAAGCGAGATGTTATCAGGCACTGATATCCGGGCATCTACGCCTCGAATATCCGGCGAGTTTGATATAAGCATTGTATCACAATCCCATGCGCTCTCATTGATCACCATTGTTTCTCCCTCCGGGTTGCTGATAGTATCATGGTCTGTTGTGGCACCCGCAGAAGGGAAAGAAAGATGTTCCCTTAGATGGATATTCTCGGACGACACCTGTTCGATCATGGATTGTGGCGATAGCCATGTGGTTTCTTCGCTGGATGCTAGACTCTTGGATATGTCTTGATGTCTTTTAACCGAGTCCAATTCAGTCTTTAACGAATCTCGTTCGCGTAGTAGTGTTTGAAGTGTCTTCTCGTACTGGGCGGATTCTCTCTTCTCGCGCTCTAGATGGTTGATCTCATCACTTAGGCCTATCCGCCGGATTCGTCGTTTCGTGCGCGCGTCTAGAAGTTGTCGCAGCGGTGTAAACTGCATTACATGCTCTGAGGAGGCTGTACTGGCAGCATCGAAAGCACCCATACTGCGGCGAGACCGCGGAAGAGGGGTTGAGCGCCGTCGCTGGCGACGGCTTGGGCTCCGAATCAAAGGATCATCTTCTGCGCGTTCTTCGAAGGAAGAACGCAACATGGCTGGAGTGAGGCCGGTCGAGTGGGTAGAACCATGTTGCCCGCCGGGACCTGGGTCTGAGAAGCGAACCTTCTTACTCTGATGAGGGGTATTGCAAGAGGTGGCGGAGGTAATATAGTACTCGGTGCGACGAGTCCTTCTAATCGAGACTGGCGTGGGAGGCTCTTGAGGCTCTTGGGGCTGTTGGCCGGATGAAGAGCTGCTTTGTCTCTTTCGTTTTGCCTGTCTCGTGTCCATGGCGATTGTGTACTGGTCCGACTGGGGTGAGTCAAATGTCGCACGATCTTCTCAGCCCCTGATTTGTTTTGCCTGAAAAAAGAAAGGGCTTAAGTGACACTTGGCTAAGACAATAATGATGTTATAGCGCCGTAGACCAAACCAATAGATATATAGAGTAGTAGTAATGATGATGGTAGTTCGGAACAACAGTTGACGGCAATCACCACGGGACTGGAGTATTGTGATTTTTCCCGATTAGGCAAGGGCCCATCGTGCCTTCCTGACGCGTTGAGGGACAGGGCCATTGCCCGATTGGGACCGCGTAAACAAACCCACCCTTGCGCCGGTCACCTGACTGCCCCGGCTGCCTTGCGTTTTAGGCGCTGTGTTTTGCTTTGTTATTCCAAATCGTGATCAAGACAAGTTTGTTATTGAGGCACCCGCCGGATAATGCCTGCCTTGTATGTAGTATTGGTAGGGGAAAGACAAGGCGTATTGTATCTGTTGTGTGACTAGCCAATAAAAGACATTGTTTCCGTATCTTATCGCCTATCCCCGTGACGAGCACCAAATTGACGTTTTCCCCCTCAACTCAACTTCTCTTACTGCCGGCGGCCCACCACGAGAACTTGGAAGTCCCCTGCCAACTGCTGTGGTCAAATGAATGATCCCTCAGTAACGCCATCCAATACTGGTCATCCCATGCTTCGCACAATGTTCGCAGGGATGCACCGCTCTTTACCTAGACATCTGGCTGGACAGCTCCGTTGATGAGGTGATCGGGGGCGGCTGCAAGGGTGATGTCATGCGGGCGGCCAGCTGGACTTGCCTTCCCCTCGCTAATCCACTGGAAGCTAACTTAGTATGCAGATCGTCAACCATTTGTTTCCTTGACTACTTTATCTGCCCTGCTCTTGTGCTCACTGCCAACTCAATTATTCCGAGCGCTATCTGGCAGATCATCTGCTACTGCACCTGTCACCCTTGGCTTCTCGGCTTTCACTCCATTCAAGAGACTCGTGATGGCTGCTGGGCTTGTCAATCAGCCGGCCTGGGAGGAACGGAACCAGGCACCCGTGGAGATGGACGACGATCCCCAGGCGTCTTTATCGGAAACAACTTCAAACAATCCCCGAGAAACCAGCGCTTCATTTTTAGACCTTCCTCCCGAGCTAGTCCAGCATATATTGTCTTTTCTATCGGCTCAAGATCTCGCTCGCCTGTCATCTACCTGCCGCACTTTCGCTGAGCATGCGACCAACGAACTTTTATGGGCCAATATCATCAATTCCAATCTTCCCGAACCCATACACACAACAGGTGTCTTTGACTCCTTTCGCAGTCTCTACATCGCCCATCATCCCTGTTGGTTCATTCCTCGCAACAAGATCTGGTTTTCGGACACAGAGCACACGGGAAATTTAATCCTCGCCCGTTACGATCACCGACGGGGTGTCATAGAGGCTTACCGGGTCATCGCAGAACGTCGCTCGCACCAGTTCCAACTCTGGGACTGGAATCTAGATGTTATAATCCAAACGTTCAACCCTAAGGTCAGTCTTTGGTTAGATGATCCAGTCTTGCTCCTGAAAAACCATCACGAGGGACGGCCGTTATATTTGCGCGGTGAGACCCGCATGCCTATGCCTCTCGAGACGCAGCATGTCTTCAACTCATTTTCGCTCTGCTCCGCCCGAATAACGTCTGATCTTGTGGCGAACCAACTATGGCCTCCTAAAACCATTCCAACTAAACACCGCGTCTATCGTGGTGAAGTTGATCCGGAGTGGGAACACCAACCCCCACAGCTAGACAAAATTTCCGAGCATGCGTTTCGAATTAGAAGATGGGCACACTTCCGATTGGGTATGCCGATCTTCACCGCTGGGCGGAGCGAGACGCTGTCGACTTATGCTACACTTGACCCCGAGCTGTATACGCCTACAGACAAGAAACCGTACCAAGGCATCTGGGTTGGAGACTACTCGGCACATGGATGCGAATTTATGCTTTTCCTACAACGTGAGCACGGAGAAGAGCGATGCAGCCTTGAGGCCATCAAGCTCACTGGAGACCCTAACGTCCCTCGCGGGGAAATATCTTTCTCAGCAGATGACATTGGCCCCGGAGGATTTGTCCGCATCGCGGAGGAAGCTCTCTTCCAGGGAGCACGTATAGTACGGAGCAAAGGTCATGTAGCGGGCCTCGGTTTCAGAGATGGTAAGTTTGATCTGAAAATGCCCAGCTTTTCGCTATGCATGCTAATATTCCTCTTAGATACGTTTATTTCATCCCAACTTATTCTGATTTCGTCAGAGTGCGTAGCACACTATTGGGAAACCATGGGCCATATCTCCTATTACCGTCGTCTGGACATCGATGCATTACTCCGGACATAGGTTCGATGATTACATAGTACGAAAGTTACGATTGAACGAATCACGTCACTCATTACATACCCTACGGTGCTTCCAGAACATACCCTGGCTCTTTTTGGCGATTAGGCTTTTACATGCGTGGACGCTCTTGACGTTATCCTGTTAGCGAGCACATACGTGCTATGATAGACCTGCACAGGCTTGCATGGGACAATCAATCTTTCACTCTGGGCGCATCTGTTATTGCGAGACCACACTTACGGTCCAAGGGCGGGTCCTGCGGAGGTTACCACATTGAAATGAACTGGACTCCTGGGAATGGATACTCTTGTATAACTCCAAGGCTAGTCAGTGACCTGCACACGGTGACTGTACTGGTGGATAAGAAAATACCGGAAGCAACCTGGATGGGTAGTCCGGTCACAACATGGCCGTTGTTAGCTAAACAGCGGAGAACAGAGATACAGATGAGTTATCCCTCAACAGGGAACCTATGTACAAACAGGCATATCGAGAAGAGATGCAAACGTTCCAAGGGGAGATACCATTGGAGCATGGATCAAGGTATACAGTCAACGCAAAATACCCAACGCCATGACTTGCGCTACTCGAACACGAGCCGAAATGCCATCATCAATCATGAGCAACGACCCATCGCAGCCATACCCTCAACCGCGACGGGGTTCATACCCTTTAATCCCTTTCTTGCCTTATATCGCAGCCTCTCTTCCAGCCAGAAGCCCCCAGCCTCACATAGTAGTGTACTCGCCCAACCCAGGCAAATCACATATAGATGCCCACCCCACCAGGGATCCAACCAATCCATTCGTAAGCCGACCGGCGACCCCGACACAGGAAAAGCGATGTGATCGGTAGTTAAGATGTATCAGTAGCAGTGATAAATCTACCGCTTGCGCTCGAAGTAGCTCGTGGAACCCAACACAGCCACAGACTGATCCATAACCCACTCGCCAACACCCAGGTAGTTATCAATCCACTTCTTGAAGTCCTTGTTATCGGTGATCTTGTCGGAGTTGAGACTGGGGCTGTGAAAGACCCCACGCGATGCCCCCCAGGGTTTGGGGGATGTGCGCGGGATGAACTGATTAGCTTACTGGCCCGTCAAATAGGGTGGATAAGATAGCGCAGTGATCGAAAAAAATAAAAAGAGGAATGAGGTGTAGTATTTACGTTAATCCAGTCGAGCGCTTCACGCCAGCCAGGAAGGCAGAGACTAGATTGCGAAATAGGTCAGCGACTAACTCAAACCCAACTTAACAACAAGAGAAGATAGGATAAGGGTGTACGTACTAAGAACCGCATCGAATGCGTAGTGGCTGAGACGTCCGAGCTGAATTCACCAATGAATGTTAATTAGTATGTCCCATCCCATCCCATTTCTTCTTATTCCCTATCCATCCATATCCGGTCCGGTCGAGTTTGGGTACGTGACATACCATGATGACAGGAAGATTTGGGGATGATAATCTGACAGGTTGAGTGCTTCGCAGCAGCGGATTGTAACAATAGCAATAGTAGAGGTTATGAGCGTGGGGTTTTTCTTTGTGAGTGGGCAATAGAGAAAAAAAGAAAGATAGGTAGGTAGGTATCAGGTCACCCCACGGAGGAAGTCATCCAGTTCACGTGGCTTTCACATGACGTGGGCGACTGACTGGTTCGAGGCGGTGAGCGAGGCTGGGTTGGTAGTCATAGGTCAATTGGGTGGCTGGGTCTGAGGGAGTGGCTGGTGTGGTTATATGAGGTGGACAGCTAGCTAGCTAGCTGGTTAGTAAGTTGTCTAGCCGAGCCGAGCGACCACTTGTTTGTGGTGCGTCTGGTACTGCTGCTCATAGTAGAGGGGAAGGTGTGGAGGGGCAGTGTCTGCCTATCTACTACTTAAGTCTGGAGTATTCTACCATTTCATAAATAGTACTACGTACTCCGGAATGAATCTAGAGATAGGATGGATCATAAATACTACCCACACTCCCATTTAGTATCCTACCCCAACAACTAAACCAACTCAACCCAAAAAGCAAATCTGAGCAAACAAACATCAATACTAAAGTAGATCAGCATGCATGCATGTATTCATTCATTCATTCTCCGAAGTCCGAAACCAATCTAAACAAAACCAAACAAACTCACTCCGTAAAGAGTACGCAATCACATCACCGCCAAGTCGGCAGTACTTTGCAAATAGTAGCTGAGCGGGTGGATGCAGGATGAAACACTACCGAGAAGGGGAATGAATGAAGATAACCGGGGCTTGGCTCTGCAGACTAATATCATATTAAGTATGTATTTGTGCTAAGTATAGTTATCCTTGTAAGAGGAAGTGTGCCGAGCCGACGGCGGGCTTTGTAGTTACGGAGTGGAATGGCCTAGCATGCATATTGCAGATTATCCATAGCATTCAATCACCGGGGGCTGAGTCGGGAGGGTGGTTATGGTGATAGAATCAGGTGCTAAGTAGTAGGTAGGTGTAGATCGGGATTCGTAATTCATGTATTCCGTAGGTAGAAGGTACTTGTGCGGTGGTAGTGAGGGTATGGGTAATGTATGTAATGAGTACCTTTACTACGACTTGCTGTCTACCTTGAGGGTGTCCAATTACAGAAAATATGAATATCAATGTAACGACCATGGATGTTTCATATGACCGATTACATAATTATATTGAACGTAATAAGCCAAGTAAATACCAAGCATCACTTCGGATATATGTGGTTCAGCTGCTGCTACTACTACTATCTCCCATCCTAATCCAACTAACAGTATTTATCTCCAAGTAAAGGCATCGGCACACCTCCGGAGTTAAAAACCTCCAACAGGAAGAGAATACCTCCGAGTTAATTATTTACTACCTTAAGTAAAATTACTTACCCACAAAAGAGCAGGTAAAAAAAAAAAGAGACAGCTTCTCCATAACTGGTAACTGGGTCCATCCGAGCAGAGCAAAATTCAGCCTTATGGATTCCGATGGAGTCAGGGAAATAGTTCTTGCGAAGGGGAAAGGGGAAAATGGGCGCTTTTTTTTGCGAGGAGGGAGAGAAAATTCAGCACCGACAAAGAACATCAAATCCACCTCGCTAGGAGAGGATGGATCCGCGACCATGTGGGGTCAACTGGACAGTGAGGAAGGGGATCATGTGGTCCTGCCAGATTTTGACAAAGTTAGTAGTAAATAGATAGATAGATAGTAGGGGAATGTTGTGTGGGTGTATCTGCCAGATTGTGGCTTGGGCTTGAATTGCTTTTGGATCTTCCCAACCAATTGATATTGCATGCGGCGAGTATGAATGCCTGAGATGCGCGGAAGCAGGTGCCTGAGGATGAAGTGGACAAAAGCTGCTGCTGATCGCTGGGCGGAAACCCTTGGCTGACCAGTGAAAAGCGCGGACAGAGGCAGCAGGGTGTATCTACCGATCAAAGAATAGAAGCAAAAGCAGTGAAAGGTGGATCACGAAGCAAATTATTGAGTTTTGATACCCAGCGATAGTGCCGGGGAGGGAAAAAGTCATTAATAATGGGAATTAGGTAGGCGATGAGAAGTGTGATTGTAACTACTCCGTAGCAGGAGGCACAACTAAACTAAGTACGGAGTAAGTACTGATTGCTCTGGCTCTCTCAACCCGCGGGGAACCGACCGACAGAAAAAAGTGTCCCAAAGCAGGAATCCCACCAAAAAGGGCCGATCCAGCCAATCACCGCCGCCAACATTTTTCCTTCCCGGGCACCCCTCCTCTAGTCCACCATCTCTCTCTTCTCTCGCTCACCGGCCCCGTCTTTTCCTTCCCTATTATCTCTCCCTCTTCTCCTCTTTCCTCTCTTCTTTCTCTCTCCATTCTCTCTTCCATCTTCCATCAATCCCTTTCTCTTCTGTCTTTCCTGTTAGTTCAGTAGAGATCAATCATCCGTCAAGATGGCCGCCAGCTCTTCCCTCGACCACCTGAGCAACCGCATGAAGTTGGAGTGGCACTCCAAGCTCAACACTGAGATGGTGCCCTCCAAGAACTTCCGCCGCACCTCTATCATCGGCACCATCGGTATGTTCCTGCCAGTTGTGTCGTCGCGATTGTCATCCATCTTCATGAAGAACTCGCACCCCGCACTTGACCTCATCCAAGCTAACCTCCGATTTTTCTTTAGGCCCCAAGACCAACTCCGTGGAGAAGATCAACTCTCTCCGCACTGGTACGACCGATAAAACCTATTCACTCTGGAAGGTATCAATCAGCTGACTAGCTTGCAGCCGGTCTTAACGTTGTTCGCATGAACTTCTCCCACGGTTCCTATGAGGTAAGAACGGTCCCCATCCGTGCATTGGCACATGACAGTATGTTGACCCGCCACAGTACCACCAATCTGTTATCGACAACGCCCGTGAGGCCGCCAAGACCCAGGTCGGACGTCCTCTCGCCATTGCTCTCGATACCGTAAGTTCTCCGGTCCCTTGGCCGGTCGCGATCCCCAAATTGACTTCTCCGTAGAAAGGTCCCGAGATCCGTACCGGAAACACCCCCGATGATAAGGATATCCCTATCAAGCAGGGCCACGAGCTCAACATCACCACCGATGATCAATATGCCACCGCCTCCGATGACAAGAACATGTAAGGCTCCTCCCCGTGTTCTTCCGACCACTGCAAGTGGATCGGGAGACCAGCCCAGACTTGTCTGTGCACGGACTCCGCTAACCAGTCGTCTTGTAGGTACCTCGACTACAAGAACATCACCAAGGTGATCTCTCCTGGCAAGCTCATCTATGTTGATGACGGTATCCTTTCCTTCGAGGTCATCGAAGTCGTAGACGACAAGACCATCCGCGTCCGCTGCTTGAACAACGGCAACATCTCTTCCCGCAAGGGTGTTAACTTGCCCGGCACTGACGTTGACCTCCCCGCCCTTTCCGAGAAGGACATTGCCGATCTCAAGTTCGGTGTTAAGAACAAGGTCGACATGGTCTTCGCTTCTTTCATCCGCCGCGGTAGCGACATCCGCCACATTCGTGAGGTTCTGGGTGAGGAGGGCAAGGAGATCCAGATCATTGCCAAGATTGAGAACCAGCAGGGTGTCAACAACTTCGACGAGATCCTCGAGGAGACTGACGGTGTCATGGTTGCCCGTGGTGACCTTGGTATCGAGATCCCCGCCCCCAAGGTCTTCATCGCCCAGAAGATGATGATCGCCAAGTGTAACATCAAGGGTAAGCCCGTCATCTGTGCCACTCAGATGCTCGAGTCCATGACATACAACCCTCGTCCCACTCGTGCCGAGGTGTCCGATGTTGCCAACGCCGTCCTTGACGGTGCCGACTGTGTCATGCTGTCGGGTGAGACCGCCAAGGGTAACTACCCCAACGAGGCCGTCAAGATGATGTCCGAGACCTGCCTGCTCGCCGAGGTCGCCATCCCTCACTTCAACGTGTTCGATGAGCTCCGCAACCTTGCTCCTCGCCCCACCGACACTGTCGAGTCCATCGCCATGGCTGCCGTTAGCGCCAGTCTGGAACTCAACGCTGGTGCCATTGTCGTCTTGACTACCAGGTATGTAGCGACGCTTCCAATTGGATATATCCAGTCGGGTAGGATGAGTGCTGACAGATCTGCAGCGGTAAAACTGCTCGCTACCTTTCCAAGTACCGCCCCGTGTGCCCCATTGTCATGGTCACCCGTAACCCCGCTGCCTCCCGGGTAAGTCGAGAAGCTAGTGTTGTTTCGAGAGTCGTGTGCTAATATGTTGAATCCAGTACTCTCACCTGTACCGTGGTGTCTGGCCCTTCCTCTTCCCCGAGAAGAAGCCCGACTTCAACGTCAAGGTCTGGCAGGAGGATGTTGACCGCCGTCTCAAGTGGGGTATCAACCACGCTCTCAAGCTCGGCATCATCAACAAGGGTGACAACATCGTCTGTGTCCAGGGATGGCGCGGCGGTATGGGCCACACCAACACCGTCCGTGTGGTCCCTGCTGAGGAGAACCTTGGCCTGGCTGAGTAAATGCAAAAGCAGTCTGGCATGCCACCGGTTGGTGGATGACACGGTAACGACAGCGATTGGATAGAAAGCGTCAAGGGTGTGTCTCTGGATATCGTAGACCGGTCTCGCCGCCATGCGACGACCCAGGTAGTCTGCCCGCGGTAGACTGCTTGTGTCTTCACTGCGAGACTCGTTAGTCGGGGCAGGACGAGGAGCACCAGGAGTGCGCACTTGCGTCTACCACCACATTCACTTTGAACCCGAAATGCGCTGGGGGAAGACACACACCTTGGGAACGTAATGTGTATGTATTTTGATTTGACGTTAGTTAGCCAGCCATGTTTGGTGGAATTTGCTGCGATCAAAAGCTAGAATTTAATAAGTTGTTCTCATGTTTTCAACAAAGTAAGCATCCTGAGTGTCAGTCAGTATGATTTGTTAGTGAAAATGCAACCCGGATCACTTGAGAATCCATCATTCGTCTGGCAAAAGAGTTAATATTCGTCGACAACGAATCGCGTCAATGTAAGCCATGAACGACATGTCCGAAGACATGAATCGGACGGAGTTTGTAAACAATCAACAGTCAAAGAGACAGTTGCAGAAGGAAGAGAATAAGCTGAGTAGTAAATCAAAAGAGAAAAGAGGAGAGAGAGAGGGTGCGCGAGAGAGAGAGAGGAAAGCCCCTCGAATCGAGTCCTCTCTCGTGCGGGGGAACGGAACAAGAAGCCCCCCAACCGAGGCAAGCAAGCAAGGCATTTGTCAATCTTTCACATTTGAAATCCAGCCCATAGCTCGTGAGTGGTAAAGCTAACAGCAGCAGCCACTGGCAGTAAATCAGTTAGTCATCGTAAATAGTGAGTTCGTCGTAGCGCAGCGCAGCGCGGAGCATAAGGCTACTAGGCTAAGTTATCCCGATAGCCCTTTTACACCCCGGTCTGGGAGCAATAGAGAGCAGTCATTTACCAGCAACTGGCGCACACACAAAAAGCAAGAAGAAGGGGAAAAAGAGGAGAGAAAGAAAAAGAGGAGTCACACGAAAAAGAAAAAGAAAAAAGAAAGAAAATCCGCGCACGCGACGGTGTGGGAAATGCGAATTGCCCAAAACTGAATTGAAGGAGAACTAAAACCGCGGAGCAGCAAATCAGATTCCCGAGTGGTAACCCGAGCGTCCCGAATTCAGCCGATGGTGTGTTCGGGATGTGTGTCACTCGCGGGGTTCTTCCGGAAAAAGGATTACTACTATGTTTTACTACTTCGGGTATTCTTTTTAGTTGTTGTGTATGCTGGATTTTGGGTAAATTGGTTTCATATTGCTGTTTTATTATGCTTGTGTCATCATAATGGTCATTATGGTTGGGTGTGTGGTATTATGGTAGGTCCTAGTCTAGGTAGTGGTGTGGTGGTGTGGTCTCGTACACTCATTAAAATGAAGGAATGCTTGTGGAACGAGAAAACAGCAAAAGTAATAGAAAAGAAAAAATACCGCTCAAAGACCGTACACAAAAGTTGGATCGACACGCCAAGTGCAAATGTAGCATCAATGAATGAACTGGAAGTGGGAATTTTTGGTACATCATGTCGTGTTCGTCAAGTCATATCCGTCATGAGGGTCTTAATCAGTACAGAACAGTCCGCGGAGGAACTGATTCGCTCAGCTTGCTATCTCCTCGAGGGCATCAGCGTCCGCGGCGGCATAACTTTGACTCGGGTAGTGTTCGACGGGGGCGTATCTGTAGAGCTGGGAATTCTGGAACTGGTGCCAACAGCTTATGACCATGTCAGTAAATGCTGCGCTTTTGAGAATGTGAGGTTTCAGAAAACATACCTAGGGGCTTGGAGCACGTATCGCGCCATCGCCTCCCTAAATCGACTCTTGTACTCCTTTGGACTGGTGACGGTAGGTCTGTTCTTTCCACCACCAGCGAATCCACGATCTTTAATCCAAGATTCTAGTTTCTTATCCCAGGTGTATGTGCGGATGCAATCGATCACTCCAACCACTAGCTCTGAACGACTCTCGTCGATAGCGATCATAAGCGAGTAATCCATCACGTTTTGGCGTCCCAGGAACAGAGTATCATTCCAGACGCTCTGGCTCAGAAGCTTTTTGGAGTGCTCCCGCGCAAATAACGGTGTTTCGTAGATGAAGTCAACCATGTTCTCATCTAGCAGAACCTCGTTGCGTTCTCCCGTACTCTGGACTTTGCGATTCCGCATGGAGCCCTTCAAATCGAAAATCCGAGTAGGAACACGATCGTAGAACAAGTTCTCCATCAACAGGAGGAACCAGTTAAACTCTGTCCCGGTAGCGGGGTTCTTGATGATCACTTGGTAGAAACCAAACATTTTCGCAATTGCAGACGGCAGCTCATGGAACAGTGCCTCGGACATAATCTGGAAATACGCTGGGGCGAATTTCAGGAATGCCTGTGTTTCAATGGGCGACAGCGATTTGAGAATGAAGCGATCGTCGAGAGTCTTCAAGAATAGGGATTTGGTCTTTCCTCCCTTGGAGTCCCATTTGGCACATCGAGAGAGCGATTCTACAATCCGCTCTGCGACTCCACATTTCTTCCGTAAGGCATCAAACTGCTCCGCATAAAATACTTTGCACAGCATTTTCGCTTGACCTTCCTGGAATTGATACTTCAGATGTGTACCTGTCGACCTCAAGAGTGCATGTTCGACCCGAGTCTCGTCCAAAGCATCGTTGCCATCCTCTTCATACGTGTCCTTCTCGTCAGGCTCTTCGTAGCGCCTTTGGATGGCTTCTAATTTCTCCTTGTAGTCGCTGGAGTCCAGCGCGAACGCGATCAGGGAGCTTGGTTCGTCCTCCCGCACGATTATGTCGCAATCCGCAAAAACGTGATCAGACATGGTAAGCGGATAATCTAGAGGTGCCCAACCGCTGGCAGAACGCTCTGACCAGAAGTTGGTCAGCAGCTTCAAAAGCGTACTCCTCTCATGCTTGGGGAACTCTTTCAGGTCCATCGACTCGTCTTCAGGCGACATCTTCAACTCATCATTCGAGTCTAGTCTTTGCAGGTCCTCTCGGTCTTCATCACTGTGTTCCTCACCTTCGACCTCAGATAAGACATGTTCGTCCTCCGGGCTAGCGCCCTCCTTTTCTTCCTTAGCTGCGGAAGGTTCCTGTGAAATATCCTCCTGCCTGCTCTCTTCCTCAGAATCCCGCCTTGGCATATCTTCGCTGTTTCTGCCTGACTGGTCCGGCGGGACGCGTGATGCTGGGGGTATGAAATCTTCCCCTTCGCCAGAAGGCTCCCGTTCTTCAACTGCTTCCCTGACATTCTTGTATACCTCGACGATTGGTTTCGAGGAAGCTATTGGGATTGCGCGAGAATGGGTACCTTTGGCAGCTCGTCGCGCTCTTTCTCGTTGCCGTTCCTTTTCAAACTCACGGCTCAACTGTTCGAAGTGTTTAGCCAGGTTCGAGACTCGGGTATTCTTTCGGGTCGGGATAGAACGCGGTATGAGAGATGAGCCTGGTGTCATTCTTCCACTTCGGAGGGCCAGATTAAAACGTTCCGAGAGCTTCTTGTTGTCCGAAGACCTTGACCTGGAGTCCAGCGGAGGACTTGGAGCTCCATCAGACGGTGTCAATCTGCCAAAGGCGATTTTCATGCCCTTGATTGGGGTTGTATCATTTCCGAGGTCCCGGTGGAAAGGAGCAGGTTGCGTTTGAGCCCGAAATAATGGTGGAGATGTAGACTTTCCACTGCGTCGCAAAGTAGCTTCGGCAAGTCGGGGAATAGCAGATGGGAAACGACTTGGAGTTGCAGTTCTTTCAATTTCATCGCTTTTCTTTCTCTGACGAACACTTGGCTCCTCAGGAGGGGGTTCCGTCGGGTTCACATCAGAATCAGTAGGGGTAGCCTTTGGCTCTGATGGCTCCAGTGGCTCCAGTGGCTTCGAGGGCTCCCGGGGCTCCTGACTGTCTATTGTCTTCGTGGTGGGCGGGGCTAGGACCGGATGCTCAGAGTGATTCAAAGGTGTTGCGAGATCCAGATGCTGCACCTCTTTTTCGGCCGCAATCTCAGCCTGCGGGGGTGAAAACTGCGAGCTCCCTGAACTGGAAGAGAGAGTTGCAGAGCCGACATCATCGGACTTGATGGCATCACTCTCCTGGCTTCCTGCAACATCTTTCTCCCCCGAATGCTCTTCGACAACAGATACTAGGACATCCTGGGCCTTCTCCGGGGAGAGGGTCATACGGCGCGTTAGTCGCATCCGTTCCGGCATTTCGATGATTTCATTGTCGGCCTCATTTGGTGTGGTAGGAGGCTCTTCGGGGATCACCGACACATCCTTGTCCAGGAAGATTTTCTTCAGCTGCAGAGTAGCCAATCGTTTGATATCTTTTTCCGAGGGGAAGAAATTCTTCTCAAATTCAGCGAAGGCAGCATCCCATTCGACGACTTTTTCCTGAACGGAGCGGAGCACTTCATTGAGAGGGATTACTTCCCAGTATCGCGAGTTGGTGTATTTTTCCTGTAGCTGTTTGATCAAGAGGATGTGGTCCTCGTTGGCCTTCTTACTCAGATGCTCTATCTGTGTTTTGCAATCTTCGGCTTGCTTAGGAATAACACTCTCAACACTGATCCCCTTCAGCCGCGCCTTGACTGAAACCATGAACCGGGTGATGCGATGCTCCATTCGCTGATACACCTCGTTCCTGAGTTTCAAGTCATTGTCCACTTTCCATGTAACCCGAGTTCTAGGAACAATTATCTCAAGCAAGTTGATGCTGTCGTAGTGGATTCGTATAGCAACGTCTTTGAAGCCAAAAAAGCGAAGGTGGTCACGCTGTAAGTCATGAGGGCAAACGCCCGCTCGAGCATGGAGGTTCTTGCTCCAGAAGGAGAGTTCTAAATACTTCCCAAATGAGTATTTCCAAGTACTTTCCGACATCGGAAAGACCTGAGTCTCATTACCACAGATCTTGCAACAACTCCACATCAAGATTGTGTCTTGGAGACCTCGCAGTTTCGAGGGGTAGGGCTGGGTGAAAACGCTTATCTGGGCTTCACCATGTACATACTGACGGTGGTGCTCAAACATTCGCTTCTCGCAGCCATTTGCCGTACATACTGCGTTTGCATGTAGACAGATATCCTCGACATACTGTCCTAAAGTACAGTCTGGCTCGAATATCGGGTCGCCGCCATGCTCGTTGTAGTACTCGAGCGCAAGGAGATCTGGACCAGAGCAGGGGATTGACGTTGTAGTGCAGACAAGGCTGAAGAGGACGACGATGTTTTGGTGGGCGTACGGATCGAAAAGGCCGACGCTTCCGGCGACATAAGCCTCCCACTGACGTTTCTGGGTTTGATAATGATGAAGAGCTCTATCATACTCAGCATCATGGGCTGCGCGTAGGACTTCTTTAACCTTAGGCGGAGCACCCTCGGGTGACTCATGAACCATTTCAGGGGTTATCAGTATGAATTTCTGAGATTTGGCTTTCTCATCTGCTGACTGGTCAAGGTTAAGGTCTTTGTCGCGGAGGCGCTTAAGATAAGCCAATTTGCGCTCCATCTCTCGGGCACGCATGAGCAGGTAGGGTGGCTCAAACTGGACAAATGGAGACGCGGATAGAACCTTCGTTTCATGATCCCGAACAATATCTTCGTAGTAAGTTGGCCTCGGAACGTCGTCGGGCACTTCGCTTGCAGTCTCCGGGTCGGTTATTGTGTCTTTGGGCGAGGAACTGCTCAACCCCTCGTTAGAATCGTGCCCTGCATCTATCCTCTTTTCCTTCTCAGCATCAGTCAATGCCGGCATCTGCGCAAATTCATCTCTCATCAAGCAGGTCTCCAGTTTGAGGTTGTAAACAACGTAGGTCATGAATTCAGTGATTCTTTTAACCTTTGCAAGCACCTCGCTATCACCGCCGCGCAAAACAATCGTGCAACCCAATTCTTTGCGGCAACCAGAAAGATACATGTACGTCTTTTTCCGGCCATTGTACACATATGTCTTGACATCGAAACTGCCGCAGTCACTATGCACCGGGGTGGTCACCAATTTGTCCATAGAGGTGATGATCCTTGTTTGAGTGCATCGAGACACAGCTTCAAGTACTGACGACTTGACATTGTATGCGGTTGCGATATTGGCCTTTTCCAACAGCTCCAAGGCCAAGCCGGAGACGTTCTTCTCAACGAGAAGTAAATTAGGTCGCAAAGCAGCTATTCTGCTCACCAGATTCGCAAGGAATTCACGTTCCTGCCGGATCACAGGTTCCAGGCTCATAAAATGTTGCTGATGCCGTGCATATTCGAGGGGGAAAGCTATTATCAAGATCTTTGGTTGCGGTATGCTCCTCGACATACTCTTGAGGGCAAGATTTTTCGTGAATACCAATCCAGAAACATAGGAAGTATCTCCTGGTCGGCCACCCAGGATCTTTTTTAGCTTTATATAGTGACGAATATCCATATCGTCACCCCCCTGCACGTCCGGTACGACCTCGTCCGCTGCCTTAAGAAGTATCGGCAGGAGAGCCGTTTCCCACTTGGAGACGTTTGGCACGGACGAGTCTTTGAGGAGCTGTCGTAGCAGTTTGCGAACATGCTGCAGACTAGCCTTGTTTAACTCGACCGGAGGCGCACCCGCTCCTCTCATAGATGAGCTTCTGGTCATTTTGAAGCCGCTTGGTGGAACTCCCGGGGGCAGAACATGAACAGCAGGCGGTTGTTCAAGGGAGTTAAACATGCTATCTTTCGATGCTCTCGGAGAGTGGCGCTGATGAATACTACTTGCAACACTAAGATTGCGCCGACGGGAAGCGCGAGGCAAATTTACTGCTCTCGAGCTGCTAACACTACCATCATCTGGTTCGCGGCCAAAAGAGTTTAAACCAGCAACACTCCGATCTCCAAACGCGTGTCGGCCTTTCTTCATGGCTGCAAGCAGTCCGCTAAATGTAGTACGCTCACTTTCTCCACCACTCTTAGACAACGAGCCTTCTGATACAGCAGACATTAGATTGGGCTGTTCCTCGCCACTGGAGGCATCATCAGAGAGGTACTGTGCCAGGTCAGGATCGATGATGTTATCTTTATGAAATGCAGGCAACCGGGACTCATGTACGGCATCATCTATTTGGCGCCGCTGGAACGGCGCACGGTCATCGTGGTGAGGTTTGAAGCTTCGGATGTACTGCTGACGGGAATGGTGACGCTTGTGGCCCATTGAATGAGGTCTCCCACTCAATGAAGACTTCAAGGATCTTGAGGACGTCGGCCGGGCTAGTGGTCTATCTGGGCTAATCTCAAGCACAGCTGAGCGGCGGTTGTGGCCTTCTCCCGCACGCCGTGTCGCGGGAATGGCCATAGTAGGAGTCTTCATCACATGTTCGATGGACTGAGACACGACCGATGAGGTATCATCCTCCTCAGAAGGAATACGCGGATAAATTCCCGCCCCGAATTCGGACATCCGGGGATGGAGCGGTATGGGGCTTTGTTCGCTGTCAGAGAACTCGGAAGAATCGTCTTCATGGCCATTTATCATTGCCTCGCAAGGCTTGCACACACGTATTGTTCCGGTTTGGCTGAACCGGTCACCCGGGATTAATAATGTGCATTTAGAGTCGAAAATTTGCCCGCAGGTCCGACAGTGGTGCTTTCGTCGAAATGTAGAGAAAGGTTCGCCACAATGGAAGCAATCTTTGGCATTTTCGTCTCGCATCCAAAACTCTTTGCTTAGTAGCTTGCTTCGGAGCTGGGACATGACGCCATCGCCACTCGCATGCGGCCGCCAGCTTCTTCCATCTGTGCCAGAAACGCGGTCCACAGACGTGTTTAATGGAGCCAGAGGTGGTGGGCCAGTTACGGACTCTGCTGTGGAGGCTTGGGATGCCACATATCCTGGCAACCGGCTGGCACTCGATATGGACTGCCTTTCTCCGGTCTTATGCTTGACTAGCGGCTTTGGTAATTCTTTCCGTTGAGCCTCATCATCGGGCATTGGCAATGGCGTAGCAACTCCCGAGGGAACTTGCTTTTCAATGAATGGAGCTACCTCATTGCTGTTGTACTGAGTGACGCTATTCGTCCTTGATCCAGAGGCCGTGTTGATTCTGTCCAAGCTGAATGACGCGCCTGAATTCGATCGTAGCCTTTCAGGCGGGAAAGGGATACCATCTTGGGTTCCATCGATCGAACGTTTAGCCTTTCGCAGCGGGCCAGGCAAAGCAGCCTCTATCTCATGAGTTCCCTGTGAATCCGACCTTCGAAAATTTTCAGGCACCTGACTTCCCATGGTAGACGTTCTGCTGATATCATGGCTTGCTGGAGCTTCGTTCGCGGAACTGGATTTGACCTGTAATACTGGGGAATTCGAAAGCCGCTGGCTCCAACCCGATGAGGACATGGATGCAGTATGAGGGCCATCTTCCCTGTCCGTGCCAGCGGACTCCACAGTTTGCAGGCTGTTAGTGGAAAGATTGACCGAGTTCGTACTTGAGGCATGAGTAGCATTCACATGAAGCTCGGTTACCATCGGGTCAATGGCTGTTGAGCTACCCGTAGCTTTGGGTAACGGTGGCACCGGAGATTTCAGCGCAGGTGATATTAACGGCTTCGAAGATGAATTTGTTGATTTGGGAGGATGTTTTGCGCTCTTCCCGGCTCCAGAAACACTATCCTGGAAGGAGTGCTGGCTCCCAGGAGCCGGGGAGTGAAGCCTTGATCCTTGTGACGAGCCCGCATGTTGCTGATGGGATTCCGAAGACTCATGGGTAGGCTTTATGGAAGAGCGCTCTGACGGGGGACTTTTTAAACCAGTATCATCCGCAGTATTCTTGTCTGAGGATTTCCCAACCCCGCTCACAATACCACCCACCGATGTCCTAAAGCGACTATATAGCCCGCTCAGCCCACCTTGCAGCTCGCCGGATATGGTTTTCTCGTCTGTTGCAGATGATGGGGCAGGAGGGCTCGTAAACTCGTTGAAAACTGTCAAGGCGTCCGACTGGTAGGCAGCGGTATGTATTTGATCGAGGGCTGCGTGCAGACTTTCACGTTCCGCCTGCGTCGATACAGAAGCTCGAGAACCGCGGCGACCGAGAGGAAGGAAGACAGAAGAGGCGGAGGGGCTCGAAGTCCCTTGGGACTGTTGGGAAGCCATCCAGGCTTCTTCGTACCCAGAGATGGGACACGAGAAAGCAGATATCCCCGCGAAATCTTATCGAACGTTAATCAGACGGGTTTAACAAGGCAAGGGGTGGCAAGCATTTGCGGTATCTTGCTGCGGAGAAGCTTCCGTTGCTCGGTGATCGGAGTCTGTGCGGTGAGTGTCCATGCATGGGTGAGTTGGACTCCACATTCTCTGGAGGGAAGTCGGATGAAAAGAAAATTAGTCAGTCGGAGACACCGAGGAGGGCAGACAAGGCAGCCTTTGTCTCTGATGAGAGAAGAGGAGCAAAGCGGGGGAGAAGAGATGCTGAATGAGACAGGCTGCACTGTCTACTGTCTAGACCTCGTCGATTAGCAGCAACAGGGATTCGGGCGGTGCCCATGACATGTGCCGCTGCCCAATGACGTGGTTCGCGCCGACCACCGCGTTGTGGCTGGGGGTGTGGCTAGTGTATTGAAGCGCCACAGTGAGGGCGGTCAGGCGCGTCGGTTGCCGACGAGGTCGCGTCCGCCAGGAACAAATTAATGAGCTGCGCAGCTTGCGCTAGGAGCCAGACTCAAATGATCGAAGCGATAAGATCATGAGTACTGCTACCCACTATACAGTTCTGCTCCTGCAGATGGAATGAAAACCAACGCGGATCCGTATACGTACACTATTCAAATCTTCATCTGCTGAAATCTATCACCAGACTATGTGGCCCTATACCAAAAAGCTCGCTCGCCTTTGCCTGCTTCTAGATCCTCACGATGGCCTCCGCCGAGATCTGGATTGCACCCGTCATTGAGAGATGTCTCGCATCTTATAGTCAAGGTTCAGCTAGTAGTACTAAGTACGAAGATGATGGTAGTAACCTTCGTTTTTCTACCCATGTTCAGCACTCGGCTTTGATCCAAGGTGTAAGTTTGATCAACCTCCTGCGGCTATGAGGACTATTGTACTGACTATATTTTCCGACTAGTGGAGGGAGCAAGAGGATGTACCCAAAATAATCTTGACCGATTCCAAATCCCAGATCGAGGCTATTCTTACACACGAGGCATTACGGGTATACGGGAAAACAGCACCGGAACATCCATTGGGCGCGGACCTGGCTCGGGGTTACTATATCCAGTTGTTGGACTTTCAGATAGTCCTGGAGTATAGGATAGTTGAGCCGAAGGTTCATCTATATGTTCAACGTTTCGATATCGACTGGGGCCGCGGCAAAATCAAATCAGCCCCGCAGGGCAAGTTCGTCAATAAGAATCCTTCCGTCAAGAAATTGATGCAACATGTCGTTCACGGTCTTAGAGGCCCTGAGGCGCAAGATGTGGCACATGCGGAGCCATTTGATGATACTTTTGGAACACAGGCTTACCAAGACACTCGGATATCTGCTTCGCAAGACATTCTCATGTCCCAACTACCCCCAATGTCCGCTTTCAAGAGTCCAGCGGCTCGTACCTCGTCTGTTAGCTGTTCTCATATGACAAATAGTTTATTGGGGAATGCAGAAATGCGTGCCGGAGCGCCGAATGTTCCCGAATCAAGTAGTAACCATGTGCACAGACAAAAGACAAAGGCTGGAGAACAACTTCGGAGTAGACAGAACAGCGCCGAGGCTACCAAACCTTCCCCCAACTCCATGACTGTCCGGCCAAGTTCATCGGCTATCAGCCCCACGAGGCTTGAGAATGCCACGGGGACAGGGAAACCTGATACCCTCATTCGACTGCCAAGTGAGTCGGTGACCCAGAGAGTCAGCCAGCCACCCTGTGATCCACCAGGCGAAGAATATGCAAAAGATTCAAATGATGCTGTTACAGAGAATGGGTCAGCATCCATTACGATTCAGGGAAGTCCTATTAAACGTTCTCCGCAATCTATGAAACCGGAGAGACCGTATCCCAGGCATACCGATCCTTGGCATGGAATGACAAAGATTCGACGGAGAGACATAGAAATCCCAAAAGAGCAAGCTGAACTGCTGGAACAACATAGGCGCCGTTGGATACCACCATCTCCAGGAGAAAGCACGCCTCAAGGGCATGTGCCGCCCAGACTCCTTGATCAATGGAACAAAGCGGCACTCCGAAGGAGTCGCATGGCTCGAGAGGAGATGTCTGTGGATATGGAGACTGAATCTCGCCAGCTTCTTCCTAGCCGGCCCAGCCCTACACCTCAGACCGACTCGGAATCAGAGGGCGAGCCTTTGACGTCACAATGGTCAAGTTCTCCAGAGCAGGAGTCACGTTCACGTCAAATATTGCCTGCAGATAGCAGTCCAGTGCGTGTTCGTACCTTTAGGAAGGGAGGAGAGTCGAAAAACGAGACATCCGAACCGCCGCCGCGAGGTAGCTTGGAGTCTGCTCGTGACAATCAAATCATACCACAACCGATGTTCAAGACTAAGGAGGGCCCTATTGATCTCGGCCCCGACGGGGATGGTCAGCTTGTTGGCCGTGAGGCGACTCAGATGAAAGATACAAACAACATTCAAGATCTTCAGGATATGTCCGATGCTGAAAGCGAAGACTCGATGATGGACACGTCCGTTCCGTGCCCGCTTGGTGATGTGCAACAAGTGCAACTTACTAGTCAATCAGAACAGGAGGTTACAAGCTCTGGCTCATCACTTCCTGGGCCTCGCATTCGCGAACATGTGCAGGTTGTGGACACGCCAGACAACAATGTTAGCCGTCGATCTGGAGACTTTGCTAAAATTGACGCTGGATTGCACACTCGTCACGATGGGCAGCTTTCATCTGACGCAGCGAAATCGTCATCTCAGTCACGGATCCTGAACACGTATGCCAGTAGTGGATCCAAAGGGACTTCATCCCAGGATCGTCAAGATGGCGCCACCGCTACTAAGGACTCCGATATACTTGGCACACAAGTGAGCAACGGCAGTATGCATAAAGACACAACGCTGTATACGACGTCGGACATGGGGCTCAATTCATCTGCTTCAGGAGTTCAACCGCGCAGTGTGTCGACCAATGGCCAGATGCACAACTCACAAAAGTCAGATCCATTTTCCTCATACCGAGAAATGCCTTCGTCAGTACCTTCGGAGATCGGGGCAGTTGTAGCGGGCATTGATCAGCCCACAATGTCGCGCCCAAAACGTCGTGTGTCGGAGGTCGAACAAGAGCAAGAGTCTCCTGCAAAACGGCCTAAGATGGAGTCTCATCAACAGCCAGCTGAGGAACCAGCGTTGAACATAGTTGTTCGTCGCCGAAGCTACATCAACCACTCCACCCAAAAGTTGGAGGAGGCGCAAAGGGTGTATGAAAAGTTTCGGCGTGATTATCCGAACTATTCAGGGGACTTCGCTCACTTTACCGAGCTTTGTTCGAAACTCCACGCTGTCCGCTCCAAGGGACACTTGCAGCGGTCTTTCTTATGGGATGACTTCATAATCAAGCACCTCGAGGATTATCCACGCTATATTGAAGAGAGTCTCTCCGCGGGTACCAAGTCGTTGGTATATGAAGAGTTCTTTCCGTCGTCCTACTCTAGGCCTTCATACAAGAAACGGAGCATTACCACTCATGGGATTGAATCAAATGCGGCCCAGTATGTTCCCGCTGATCAAGCCGGGGCACCCGATACCGATATCGCATCTCGAGAAGCAAACGCTTCTTTTACGGGGAGTCTTGTCGAGCGATTCACTAATTTCCACGCCCATTCCTTTGGTCCTGAGACTCAGGGAACCCAGTCCGATACGGATATGGACTATATGTCATGTGTTATGTCGTCTCCCACACCTCAGACAAAGGTCAGGCGCGACACAAATGCACCAGACCTCCCAGTATTGGACGAAGAGGCTATGGAGACAGACTCGGAACGGGGTTCGGAATCAGGTATTCCAGTCAATGAGACTAGGCACGAGCGGGATGGCCCGACGGTGGACGATCAACCCTTGAAGTCTTCCGTGCCTGCAGGCGAAACTTATTACGACGTTCAAGACCCGTTTGTGAATGAAGACACCCCGTCTGCGCAATTAGAACAGTACTTGAAGTCTACTTTGGACGAAAAGGAGACACGAAGCCAGGTCAACACTCGCGAGGGAACAGCCATTGCTGAAGAGCTGGCAGAGCCGGGACAGCCAGAGTCCAGTGCCGTGGAGAATGCCGTCGATTGCGCGGATATACCCTCAGCTGCGCGCGAATCCTCCCAGGAAGATAACTTGGACTCTAGCGTCCCAGAGAGTGGAGATTATATCATGGACGAACAACCCAAACCGGACTTGGACTCCAGTATACCCGAGAGCGAAGCTGCAATGGCAAACCCAGCAGATACAGAGCAGGACGATGAGTTGGAACTAGAGCACCACTCAGTCCCCCATTCTCCACAAGGTTCAACCGAATCCGACATGGTGAGCGAGTCCAGCCACGATGAAGACGACGAAATGGACGAAATGGACCCAGTAGCAAAACCAACCCTACCCCCAGATAGTGACGCAGATTCCGGATCCGACCATTCAGACGAGGAAGACAAAGACGAAGACGAAGACGACGAAATGATTGACGAGACGCACGAAACAGCCAGCATTGAGCTCGGCGCAGAGACCCAAGATGCCGCCCAGCTCGCGCAGCAGCAGCAGCTTTCAGACCTCGAACCCGAATCCGACACGGAAAGTATCAACGAGAATTGGTTCGTGTCCCTTCGACACATCCGTCCCAAAGGCCCTGTCTGGTCCGACGACCCCAACACGCCCTTCAAGCAATGGGCACGAGCGGACCAGGCCGTTCTTTCTGAACGTAACCGACGAGGCGGCGCATACCTGCCAGTTGACGAGAAGGGAGTGATCCAGCGTCCCGGGTATCGTCGATGAGAGCTATTCTATCCCCTGTTCATGTTTTTAATTCATTTATCTTCTGGGATGTTATTCTTCGTATACCCTTTTTTCAGCTGTACTTTTAAGATGGTTATTTTACCTTCTTTGTTTGTATTACTATTATTAAGGTCGCTACTATATTTCGTCTTCTAATTTAAGATTTTGTTGATGAGAGATATGAGTGTGGTTCAGGTGTATTATGATACTTAAGCCAATATTCTATTACCCTGTCAGTAGATAAAAGTAGTGAACTATTCAGAATGCCAGTATTCTGGCTCCTCAAATCGATGACAAATAGTATTTTAAACGAGGAAGAGCCGCTATACAGCAAGAGATGGTCAGTAAGTATGGGCCATTGTCCACTTCCCAAATAGGAAGCATTGTTCAGCTGAACCAAATGACAAATGCATTGTTGACGTACTAGGTAAGCATCTTATTTCTCCAGACAGCGACTTGCATCTTTCCCTTCTCCCTTCTTCCCCTTACTAAATCAGGTATCGATTGATTATACCTTGATCGGCTCCACCATGAATGAACAGTATCAATCACGCAGGCAATAATGTAAAACTTATGTCTATCACTTCACAAAGTTATTACCAATGGGCTATTTACCAGGCAAAATAGTAAAAATGTATAAAGGTAGATATTTTCAATTCATATACAATAGATGGATGCAACTAGCATTAATTCATCATGCCAAGAGTCCCAGCACTGAATGAATCAGACCGGACCAAGGGCTCTATAATCCAAGTTCCAAACCCTCCATACTCGGGGTATCACGGGTATGCACACTAGCTTTCCTGCCTTTTCTTGGCTGGAAACAAAATACACAAATATAAAAAAATGTCATCATCAGGTTGTTGTTGTCATGACCGAGCTAACCCAAACCAGAACGCCAGTATGAACAAATGTTGAATTCCTTCCTTTTGTATTCAGGAAGTTTTTTTGTGATTGATGTTGGTGGTAGACCATCATTTAAGCATGACGGAAGGGTTCATAGGCGTTCGTGCGACCCGTGGTCTGGTTGTTGTGGATCGGAGGCGGGGGAGGGTAAGAGGTGTTGTTGTAAGGGATCGGCTGGGTCTGGCCGTGAGGGCCCAGAGCCTCGTAGGTGTAGGGAGTCTTTTCGGCCATGACAGCGCGATTGCGGTTGCGGTGGTTGTAAGGGGAGCGACCGGAGCAGCAGCAGGAGCTGATGATCCAGAAGAGAGTGGCTCCGAGAGAGAAGGCGACCGCGAGCCAGGTGGCGACGTAGATGTTCTTGCCCATTTGACCCTTGATGCCGTATTGCTCGAGATCGGACTTGAAGACGCCCTTGAGGACGGCGAACATGGCGGTGGAAGTGACGGAAGCGGCAGCGGTGAAGAGGAAAGCGACAGCAGACACCAAGCTGGTCACGCAGCTACCCCAGCGACTGCAGATCGCAAAGACACCGACGATCAGCTCGACGATGGTGAGAGCGAAGGCGATGACGTAGGCGATGAACATCCACTTAGAAACGGCCTTGTAGGTGTTCAGGGCGCTCTTGACGTTGCTGGGAAGGGCATTCTCCAGACCGGTCTCTTCCAGGTTCCAGACCTCCATAGGGTTGAACCAGAACTCGGCCTCGGGCTTGGAGCAGTTGCTGGTTTGGTAGCTGTTGTTGGAGGTGATGTTTCCTTCACAGTAGCCCCAGAGACCAATGGCATAGAAGTCCTCGATGTTGTATTGTTCCTCGATTTCCTCGAGCGCAGCGGAGAGATCGCCATCCGAAACACCGGTCAGGTCACTCACGACGGAGGATACTGTTGATGCGGTGGAAGAGGCTTCGGAGGTAATGTTCTTGAGGTTGGCCTGGAGCGGAGTCAGTACGATCGGACATTTGGGTGGGGGATGCATGAAAGGTAAGCAAGACGTACTCTGAAGAAGTAGAGATCATTTAGCGTGCTGGAGCTGGATTTTGTGCAGCCCAGGCCCACCATGATGATACATATTAAGGAGGCGATGGTGAGGACATATGGAGTGAAGATGCAGACAATGCGACCGCCTTTACCCATGGTGACGGTTGATGTGGAGGATGACGTGGGGATGTATGTATGCTGTGGTTGTTTTCCCTTGCTTATCTCGCCGGGGGGGGGGTTGGGGTTTAGAGTTGATTACAGGTCCGAACAGGTGGTTAAATAGATCAGAAGCAGGACACTGAACGTGAGTGTATCAGGGTGATGGGTGGTGATGAAAAATGTGTGAGATGAAAAGATGAGAAGAAGGCTGGGAGAGGATGATTTTATAAAAGAGGATGCTGGGGGATCAACACAAATTTACTTGTTATTTACTGCTTTGAATTTAGTTTATTGGGGAGGCGCAGTCAGATGGAGAGAGTTTGGTTGATCAGCGGGCCAATCACGGAGGGCAGATGATGGACTACGCCACGCTTGTTTCTATAATAAATTCGAGTGAGTTTCCACCGCAACCCAAACGCGGGATCCAGCACGGTTGATAGTGGAGCCTTTTGGTTAAAGGGTTCTGGTAGTGAGCAGATATTTTCATAGCAAGCAATATTTCTGTTGACATTGCACAGAACACACTGCAAGGGACTAATCCGCATTGAGAAGACTGACCCTCGTGGCGGAGACTCACCAGCCCTACCGCCACGTCAGAAAGTGGCTGGGGTAATACGCGTCTTCTTCCTCATTATTATTATTATTATTATTGCCCTGGTATTAACCTTGTTTCCTAATATTTTATCAAGTCAGTTGATGTATTCCATTTCATCAATTTTATACACACACGGGAATTCTGGCTATTAACTGAGTAGTCCTGCGCAATCTAGGTCGATCGGGTCCAGTTGGATCGTATCACCACAACCAACCTATCTGATACACGGTGGACCAAAGAGGCACCGGACAGTGAAGTAGCGATCGTCATCATCGGGAATCTGCTTTAACCATCCCAATCCCAAGATTTCCTGTGAGCCTGGATTTCTGGATGAGCGTGTCTCACCCTCAGCCCACCAACCACGGAACCTCCACTGACTAGGCTTCATCATTCTGAGCTTGGCAATACGCGGTCAATGTTGGATGCTTTTATTGGTATGCATGACATTCTCGGAAGTTTCTTCTGCATCGACATCTTCCCTGCTGTCTGTCCCATGGTACTGCCTCAGGGACGTCCGATGAAGTGCCCAAGAAGTCATCTCAACAGTGATTGATGGATCATCACCACGGAGTATTCTTAGCAAGGCAACTGGCGTAATCAACCACGACTAGTCGAGTTATGACTTCATGACCACCTATCAAAAGAAGCAAATCTGCTGTTTCAATTCTCAACCGTCGCGGCAGACGGGAAAAATGCCGGGATTGACCCTCTCCGATCGACCAGACTATCAACCCGGGCTTACGTTGAGCGTCTTGGCGGGCCCGTCTCTCATCCATGGTTCCTCCTTCGGCCTCGACCATCCCATCACTGCCATACCTGCACTCGTTGCTTTCTCGTGCATTCAACAACATCGCGGTGTTCATCCACGAACATGATTTATCCGATAAGGCTGATGAGGAGAACTATGTATACCCTACGACCAGTGGGTCGTCAGATCATTACTTCCTACGCAATTTGTTGAGCTATACTCGATGATCGTTGATAAGAATCCACCGACTACTCGTTATGGAGTACAACGTGCACTATTTCAGCGACAGGCGTGCCTCACTGCCTAGTGCCTACAGGTAACACTCAACAGAATGCACAATGTTGGAGCGTCCAAAACGGAATGCTTTGTGACGTCAGTCAGTGCGCTGCCACTAATGTATACTAGTACTCCTCTCTGTACCACCACCGCCCACTCGGACAAGATACTCCGTATAGTTCTCCGATGCACCGCATCTGCGACCCACCCAGACCTCAAAGATATGCCTCCAGGATATCCAGCATACCCGTGTACGCAGTTCCATCTGGGGGCTCCAGGCTGAAAATGTAGTCTCCCTACCATGGCCCGGCTGCCCACCACGACGCACCCTTCCATACGTCGGTGTTATTCGCCATGTACTCCAGCATCCCCGACACGGCACTCCGACATACATCATTGGAACCCCCGGCATATTCGCCTATGAAGCCGACCTTCTTGTTGTCCTTCAGCCACTGTGTAGCTTCAGTGACCCGCTCTTTTCCGATGGTCTCGGACACACAGGTCTCCGAGGTGCCGGAACCGTCGGAGTCTAGGTACTGGTGCATTTCATAGACGATCTTGTCTTCGGGGTCGGTCAAGTTTTTCATGTTGTCGTTGACGTCGACCCACGTCCAGGCGCCGGTCCAGGAGTTGCCTTCGACGAAGATGTACTGGCTGGTCGCACCTGCGGCGCGGATGCCATTAATGGCTGCTTGGTTGAGGTTCAGCACGAGATCCTGATCCATGTCGTGATATTCGTTGTCTGCCTTGTCAGCATGATCCTTGATGGGGTTGTGGGTACTTACTAGTGTCAAACATGACCAGGTCGTTATCTTTGTACTGGCCGGCCAGATTCTCCCAGAAGGTCTGGAAATCAGACGTGCTGGAGATGATCTCGCCGTTGCTGTTTTGTTAGCCAGTATTATCTACTGGGATTGCGTACTTACTATCTGCCATAGTTATGAGGGTCAACAAGGGCATGAGCGCCTCCGTCCGTTACCGCTTTTATCACCTATCTCGTCAGCACCACTCAACACAGGCTGGAGTCATCTTACTGTCGTCAAGTTGGCCAGATACTCCTCATCATATGAGCCAGTCATTGAGTCGGGCAGCAACCTCTCCATCATGAACTGGACGCGGAAGAAGTTCATCCCCTTGTCAATCAACGTAGAGATGGCCGAGGGGTCGGGGAAGATGTAGTCGGTTCCCTGCGACATCAGCATACGCCTATACTTTGGCGATGATACATACCCAGACCCCAGGAATATTGGTCCCAAACTCAGCACCAGACTCATTCGATCCGAACCCTATGCCGTCAGCTTAGCGACAGCAAGGCAAGGAGATCTTACATTCAAACACAGACGCCCTCTTCTTATGTCCAGGACCATGAGGCACAGCCAACGCGGAACCAGCCGCGGCGGCAAGAAGCAGAGTGCTCTGAAACTTCATGATGACTGCTCGATTGACAGTCTACAGTTAGTGTCCAAGGAGATGAGAATGTCCTACCTTTATATCCTCCTCTCATCCTAACTATCCCAATCCAGCACGGAGAAAAGCAGAATGCACCCTTCTCGGCAACATCTCCCCATCCATCGTTATTCAAGTTGAAACGTCCGAATGTAGAGACAAACGGATATTCAAACAGGAAATGTTGCAGATCTTCACACCTGCAGATATCATCAATGCCTATAGGGCGGATAAAGTCGAAGCAGGGACTACGCTCGGTCAATGATCCGCCTTGGCAGGGTCAGGGTCATGAAACTGATACGGAAACGAGGTCCGTGACGGGAGAAGAAGGATCAACATATAAGACCGCGGAGTAATGCATAAGTGGAGCTTTCATGTCAGTGACATTTTATCACTGGCAATGCATTCAGCCAGAATACCGTAGGGCAGTTTCTCTAAAGATATATAACCGGTGCAGTCTATACTACATATCAACAATGAGCCAATGAACAAAGCTGAGCATTTACAACAGTAATTAGAAGTTCCATATCAAACCACTAGTATGTATATATATCATCTCAAACATAGTAGTATAGCAGCAGTACTATCCAACAAATAACATACTATAAAAATAACACTACCAAGCCCCCAACACCCCCATCTCCCCCTTCATATCCTCCGCCTGCAAAAGATGATACTTCATTCCGGGATGATAATTATTCCACCAGATACACGACGTCCCATCATCATCGATGCACGTGGCATTGGGGAATCCATACGCCGTCGGATCATCCAGGATTTTCGTCATGAATGACCACGAGTCATAGAGGACGGTAGTTACCTGCCCCAACGAACCACTAGTCAGCTCTCCTTCCAACCCCTACACATCAAGAAAAAGGGAAACTTACATCCCCCTTCTCCTTATTAAACCTCTCCACCATCCCCTTCAAATTCTCATTAAAAACCGCCAAATACTCCGCATGCTGCTTGACGACCTCCTCACCCTGATCCAAAATCAACGGACTGCGACTCGTCGGCGGGACATTCAGAAACAGGAACTTCCTGCCCCCGTTCTTGTATACCTCCTCCACGAGACTTTCTAGTCGGGATATGAGCTTGGGTGTGTATGTCGCTGCGTCGGTGGAGTAGAATGCGTTTCCGATACTATTATTCCCCGATACCCATTAGCTTTCACCCCCCAACCCCCTAAATAATACACAAAAAGAATAAGCTGAATGGGAAGAGGAAGGTACTCATTAATCCCAATCCACACCCCAAACACCGCATCCTTAGCATCCCAAGGCGCCGTCTCCGGCTTCTCGGCATACACATCTTCAAACAGCCGGAACTGCGATGCCAGGTCACCGGGGTATGCGGGGACTAGGGCATTGTCGATTGTGGCGCCCCCTGCGGCGAAGTTGTAATTGAGGACTAAGGAGGCGTTTTCGGTTGTGGTTAGGTAGCCGATCCAGTTGGGGCCGTTGGTTGTGGTGCCGATTCCTGACCCATTATCATTATTAGGGGTTTGTGTTATGGGAGGGGTATGGGTATGGGTATGGGAATGGGTGCTTGCCTAGATCTGGGTTGCCCATGGGGTTGGAGGCGGAGGGTTGGGTGCCGGAGGCGCTGAAGCCGGTTTGGGAGTAGGAGTCTCCGCTATATTGATTGTTTAGTGGTGGTGGTGATGGTGTGGTTAGGGGTGAGGGTGGTGGGGAGGGGGAGGTACAAAGTGAAGAAGTAGGTGGGATTAGTGGTGGTGTTTTCTGCTCTTGGTCGTGGTACTTGGGTCCATGGTCTGGCTGTGGCTGTGGGGATAGCGGTCATGGTGAAGGTGATGCCGCTGGCGAGGAGCCAGGAGGGTGGGAGTTTCATGTTGGACTACTGCTGCGGTTGCAGTATGGATTGTAGGTTTGATGAAGAATTTGGCTATGTAGAATGTGAAGCTTCAAGCTGTGCTGATCTTCTGGATACTATTATATAGTATCACTACTAAAAGAGGGGTATGTATCACGCCCATTCTAGACCCAATTGCAACTGGAATTTGGATCCTGTGGAATCATTTAGCCGACTGCGATCAGACCTTAATGCGGTTTATGGAAAGAGAATTCCCCGTCCTGAACCCTGGTGTTGCGGGGTAGCAATCGAGCAATGCATGCATACTTGCATCCTGCAGATAGCAAATCGGAGGGAGAAGAACATCGCCAAGGTAGGAATCAAGCATTGATCGAGCAGACTATGCCGTTTTGGCTACGGGGTGGCTTGCTTAGTCCCCCGGGTAATAGCGTAATCCGCGGTACACTCTATTCTATGGCTCTATGTTTATTGGTATAGTATGTGCAAATCATCTAAAGTAGGTACTACAACTGCAGACGCAACATCTCCATGCCAGTACCACACACCACCAGCTTACTTCCCGACGCATCGTGGAGGATGTCCAACGACGAAATGTCCGCCACAGAACTGTACCGCTCCGCTGCCTTGCTGATCTGGATCCGGTCCGCCCCGCTCATCTTCGTGTCAATGTCGATCCACCAGATCTTGACTTGGTGGTCATTGCCGGACGATGCGACGGCGAATCGAGCAGTTCCGTCGCTTGGGTTCACGTGCTGCGTGAGAATCTTCGTCGTCGTTATGCAGGCTGCGTGGGCGTCGGGGACTGCGATGGTGCATGTGGCCGCGCTGTTCTCGATGCTTGTGTCTAGAAGAGTGACGGTCATCGAGTTGTCGTCGCCGGCTGCGACGATCAAGGACAGGGTGTTTGATAGATCGGCCAGTTCCAGGCTCTTGATGCTGTTCCAGTGGATCTGGTAGCGGTTTTCGCATGAGATTGTTGCTGGGGTGATGGATGCTCCTTGAATGGTCTGCTTCATACGCAGAGGTGATGTTATCGTGTAGAAAGGTTCCAGGACGGAAGTCAGGTCCCAGAGTGTAAAGTAGCCGTCTGTGGAAGCTGTGATTAGGCTCAGTGATGAGCCCTTGAGCATGAAGTTTGCTTGCGTCAGGCAATTGCTCATGTAGGTGCCATTCGCTAAGAGGGTAAAGCTGCCTCCTTCGGCCGATGAGGTGTAATGGAAGATCTGCACAGTTAGCATGGCCCAAGAAGATTGTATGAACTGCTTACCTTGATGGTGGAGTTGGAATAGGTCAGACAGATTAGGAACGAACCCTCTGCCTGCTCATCTTCCACCTCCAGTACGTCGAAGCTCGTCGTCCGAAGATCCGAGTTGGGATCGCTCTTGGGACATTCTCCATCCAATGTCGTTCCAAGTCCAAACCGAGGAATCAAGTGTGTCCGCCAAACGAAGAACTGCTCGTAACCACCGCTCGTAAATAGGAAGCGTCCGTCAGTGGACCACCCCACATTCTGAAGACCCGTGTGGTGCTCTCGCAGGAGCCGTAAACATTTGAACGCGCCCCAGCGGTTCTCAGACTGCAGATCGCGAGGTGTAAAGATACGCACATTTGTATCTTCCGATCCCGTCGCGAACAACGGGCCCAGTCCACCCTGCTGAGTCGCAGACATGGCTTTCACCTCTCTTCCGTGGCTGCCAGAACGCAAGGTCCGACTGGCGTCCGGATGTATCTCCATGCCACTAAAGCCGGATTGAATCCATAGGAGCGACCCAGCCCAAGCTTTTGTGTTGTTAGGCTGGAAAGCCCAGGCGCGCCGGCCGCCATTACACTTGTGCCTAGCAACTTCTGTCTGCGCGGATTCGTTCCAAAGCACAAAGTCCATGGGCTGAAATCCGTAGATCATGAGATCTTGAGATACCTTGTCGATATAGGCTCCTTGGATCTCACAGTTGAAAGCCAGTGAGGCCAGATGCAGGGTTTGAAGAGAAATTGAAGGCTCCGGGCCTTTTGAGATAACCAGCTTGTGCACGCCGTAAGTCCCACTCCGACCACAGGTCAAGAAGTACGGATGCAGCTGTTCTTCCTCACCGTATAGCGAAGAGAATGACGTGATGTAGCTGAGTCCTTCACGACCGTGTAGCTTGCTCGGGGGCATGACGGGTTCGATACTCTCGGTATTGGCCACCTTATACAGAGCGAAATTGCCAGTGAGGGAACCGAGGGCCAGGTACTGCTTACCACATACCAAGGATGCAGATGCCATACCAAAGCCGTACGGGAGATTGATAGTTATTCTATCCACAGACGGTTCATCACCTGACAACGATACCATAAAAAGCTCTGCTGTCTCGGAGTTTGGATAAGACACAGTGAACACCAGGTTTGCTTCTGATTCTGAAACCTGGTTATAGTCGAGGGGAATCAAAATCAGAGGTCTTTGACCGACGTCGACAAGTCTTGTGAAGGACTTGACATTATGATTGTAAAGCCGAATAGAACCTCTTGCGTTACCCACAAGGGCAATACCTTCATGTGGTAGGCTGCCAACAACGGAGTAGGATCGCAGGTCATCTTCGACGAATAATGTTTCTTTGAAGATATGTTGTTTAGACAAGTCTTGGGCATAGATATGACCGACCTGAGCCTCGCCACGGGCAGTCACAGCAATGAATTCGTTCTGTGAGACAAAATCAAAGCCTTTGATGGATGTCTCAACGTGGGGTTCCGGATTTTGAGTATCAACTGTCATCGTAATGCGGTCGTGTAGATTGGGCAAAACGAGAGATCCCTTCTCGTCTGCCTTAATTGTAAAGTTCTTCACTGCTCCATCAGCACCGCCGGTATAGATTATCGCCTCACTATCGGTGCTGCGCACCTCCAAGGACCAGACGTGCTTGCCCGTGTGTTTGCGGATGGATATGCCCTCAGTCAGCTTGAACTGGGGCGTCTGTGACGACGGGTCCCATGTGAGATCCCATAGTATGCACGTCGCATCTTCGCCACGGGATATGAGGTTCATTTTGCCCAAACCCTCTCCCACGGGAAGGAAGTTGACGCCCCAGATCCGAGCCAGGTGCCCAAAAGCACTGGCTATAGTTTTCTCGGAACCGACCTCATTGTCGTAAGCTACAGCACCGAAGCCAGTGCTCCGGAGCTCAAATCCATCGGTCGAGTACGCCGGCGCATCGTGGCGAGACGTACGCTCGCAGTCAGAAATGTCCCAGATTCTGATCGTTCTATCGTCACTACAACTAGCCAGCAGTCGTCCGCTCTGGTCGCCGCGCAAGGAAGCAATAGAAGGAGATATCCGGACCCCGAAGATTGACCCTTCATGGCCGGTAAAAAAGTGATGAATCGAACCGACTGCTCCTCCAGACTCATTCAGATAGGAAGACCAAACGATGATCTCTCCGAAAACAGTCCCTGCGGCAATCAGGATGTGAGAGTCCGAGAGGGCGACGATATCTGCAGAGTACAAGATCGTGTTAACACCAGTAACAAGTGGCTTTATGTGAACAGCCTTTTCATGTTTTGACCCGTCTCCATCTACTATATGCAGACCAAGAACGGCATTGTGGGCCGTCAACACATATGCAGTCGTGGACTCCTCCTGGCTGGACGCACAACCAGCCAGAATCCAATCCGGTCCCTGATATTCAGCGCTTGCAGCCACGAGTCTTGCACTGGGCTCCTGAACAGAGAGAAACAAGTCAAAAGCTCTCACGGACTGTCCTCCCCAGGCAACGAACCGGGCATGTGAGGGCCCGGCAACTTGCTCTTGTTGGCTGAGAGCAACGAACCCGTGCACATGATTTCGCTTGAAGGCCTTCAGCTCTGCGAGCAGATTCCCAGTCACTTCATCAATGAGTCTGATATAAGTGCCTTGGGCTTGGAGTAGAAGCTTGACATCCCTCAACTCCAGCGCTTTGAGCGCCGTTACGGGGACGCAAGTGTCAATGTGCTGGAGACGGTCAGCGATGTTGAGTGTGATTGATATGTAAGACTACCACTGACCTCAACGGAGGGATGCATTCTTCGAGGCACATTATCTACAAATGGTGGCTTCCCCCGCATGGCGATCATCGTTCAAAATTCCAGAATTTCCATCCACTGTGAATATGCTTATGTAATGGGATGGTGGGATGTGGTGTGGCACGTGACACAGCCTGCCAGAATCTGAGGGGTTTGCATTTGCTAGTGATTATATCGCTGCAGATAAGCCATAGTTCATCAACGAGGAACCCTGTCTATGGTAGATACTTGTATGGCCCCTATTGGGAATTGAGTGCGAAAGATGATCATATAATCATCCCTTGTCAATACTACAGTGTATGCAAATCATGGTTCACGTGATTGAGATCACTTGTCACTCTTCGGATGCATATTGTTGCTTCTACTTTGTTGCTTCTACTCTGTGTAGCTGCAAATTACTGTGTGTGTGTGTCGAAAAGTTGGCTAAGTAATAGGACGAAGCCGCAATGCTTCAGCCGACTATTACGAGAATTCTTCATGACACACAATAACGGCAACATACTACACAAGATAAGATTAAGACGCGTAAGGGGAGGGCTCATTGTGAAGTGTGGGTAAAAACATATTGAACGGAGAACAAGGGCAGTAGTAGCCGTGCAAAGGGTGAAAATTTGTACAGTGTACAGGTAGCTGCTGCACCGGGTGGGTAGGAAGCGCTAACAAGACCAGCTTAACAGAATGCGGTCCATGCTGAGACAGCAGATGGACTCCACAGGCTTATATTCAAGCTTGAGAAGATTAGCTTGAGACTTAACTCGTCACCCCCATTGGGAAGCCGTGTTGACTGAGGACCTGTGGGGCAGAGTTATCGAGGGTGTAACTCCTGGTGACGATATGACTTGAGTGACCCGGAGCGTCAAAAAAAGTACAAAACCTGGCGTAAGCTACTGCCGAATCTCATCTGAAAGGGGTATAAGTGCCTGTGTCACAAGAGCTTGTTAGCCATAGGTAAAAGGACGAAAACTCTGCATAACATCATGTGTTGACGGGAGATGAACAAGGGCCCCCCACCGTTCGTCATGATGTTGCAGAATCACTAAGCAAGTGCCGCTGGACCCGAGTTCCAGGAGTTCTGGTCCTGGGCGATCCGAATGCGGAGACGGCGATCACCTAGGCGATGGGCACTATCTGGACCTACTATCTGTACGTTTATATGAGACTAAATTATAGTCCCGCAGCGGTCTGGACTATCGCCCTGATTATCTCGATCGTGTGGTTTCGAAAAGGGGGGTTTCTGGTGGAATTGCTCGAGCCAGCCATCGGAGCGGTTCTGTAGAGGACATCTACCTAGAATGAGAAGAAGAAATCAATAAATTTAGATCATTGTGGGCATGAGACAAACGAAACCCCCAGCTAGCAAGCCACAAAACAGACACCATCACCATATGAGAATAGCTCAAACTCTGTATGACATTGACGAGTTGGTCAAACTTTCGCTTCATCTGTTGGACTGATCGAGGGACCAGAAATCGATGACATCAGTTATTTTTGAGCGGATTCTTTGGGTCGTGATGACGTCGCGGGTTCCGGGGAAACCAGCCAAAAAAAAAAAAAAAAAAAGAATGGGTATATATGAAGCTTGCAGTGAGAGATGATCCCAGTTCCCCTGCGAATCCCCTTAATTTTCTAATAGGTTGTTCCTCTGGTTCCTCTGGATTGAAGTTAATTGCAAAGAGACAATTTGCCAATCGCCTTGCGTTGCTCGTGATCAACCAAGATTACTGCCTGATTTTCACCTTGTAATACTGGAGCCTCTCAATCGGGTTTAGTGCTGGTCTAGTCTCGACGTCACGAACGAGACTCTAGAGTTGCAACCACAAGCAGTTCATTTCAATTTCCAGCCCAACTCGCTCCACTCTTCCCCCAGCCTTCAAAGGGGAAAAAGCACCCAAAAGCCCACTTCTTCCCCCCCCCCTCCCCGGCTCAAGTGAAGGAATTTCGCAAGTGTCATTGATCCATCTGCTCATCGACTCTCAAGCGTGGTTCCTTACCATCATCACCACTCACCCACCTTTCCCACTTTGGACCATCTCGTGTCTCGATCTCGGACCCGTTGCATTGCCCACCCCTCTCGCCTTGATCCCTCTTCCGTCGCATCCCGTCGCGCCCTCCTGACACACGTCACTCCTGCGCAAAGAATCTCTTGAAAGATACCGCCTCGTCCGATTTGCAGCCAACCTTGGTGGCTTTCTTCTCTATTCCTTCGTTTCATCCCTCGTGTCTAGCCTTTCGCACTCGGACAATTCGCCATGCATCGCACCTATTCTATGCGCCAGTCGCGCCTGCCGACGGCCTCGCAGATTGAGAACCCTCCTCCGCCATTGTCTTCCACCAAGACAAACAGAATCTTTGGAAAGGGTGGTTTTGGTGAGTGATCCCCAAAAATGTTGGATCTTTGTTCTGGGTGGAGATCAATGGCTCTGGTCACTCCCTATGCTAGGGGGGCTAGGCAACCACTATCTGCTGAGAACAAGCTGAGCCTTGTATGATGATTATACTGACAATGTCAATTCAGGCCATGCCTTGCGCAAGAACACGGCTGGCGCCTTCGGGCCCGACCTTGCCAGGAAGCTTTCCCAGTTGGTGAAGATGGAAAAGAACGTCATGCGCAGCATGGAGATGGTTTCTAGGGAGCGTATGGAAACTGCTGTATGTCTAGCGATTCGACTTCTTGGGACACACGAGGACTAATCATGGGTGCTGGCAGCAACAACTCTCCATCTGGGGTGAAAACTGCGACGAAGATGTTTCCGACGTCACTGACAAGCTGGGAGTCTTGCTCTACGAGATTGGTGAACTGGAAGACCTCTTCGTCGACCGCTATGACCAGTACCGTGTCACCATCAAGAGCATCCGCAACATTGAGGCTTCGGTTCAGCCCAGTCGCGATCGTATGTGGTTTCCGTCCTATTACCGAATTTTAACACTAACATGCATACGCTTCTAGGCAAGCAGAAGATCACCGATGAGATTGCCAAGCTCAAGTACAAGGACCCCAACTCTCCCCGCATCGTCGTTCTGGAGCAAGAGCTTGTCCGTGCCGAGGCCGAATCCCTCGTGGCTGAAGCCCAGCTCTCCAACATCACCCGTGAGAAGCTCAAGGCAGCCTTCCAGTACCAGTTCGACGCACTCAGGGAGCATTGCGAGAAGGTGGCCCTCATCGCTGGTTACGGCAAGCACCTCTTGGACCTGGTCGATGACACGCCGGTTACTCCAGGCGAGACTCGCCATGCTTATGATGGATATGACGCCAGCAAGGCCATCATCCAGGACTGTGAGGAAGCCCTCGCCAACTGGGTCACCTCCAAGGCGTCGGTCAAGCCTGCTCTCTCCCAGCGCTCGCGCACCCTGTCTCAGCGTCACCGTGAGACCCTCAAGGGCCGTGAAGGCGTCGATCTTTCCGGCCAGGACCAGCCCATGGGCCGTGACTCTTGGGTGCCCGCGGATCAGCATGCGACCTACCAGCACGAGGTAGAGGATGGTGAGGAAGTGGCCAGCACTGTGGATGGAGAGTCGCGGGGTCGAGAAGAGGAGCGGGAGCCCGTCACGGTGTCTGTTTAAATAAGATGAGAAAGTGGTGAAGATCAGCTTACCTTGGTGGATCATATACGATCATTGAGACCGCCAAAGTACTGATCAATACTCTCATCTTTGTCTCTATATTTGCGGTTTGAGATTCCCGCTCGATATGATTTTGTCGTTCTTCCTTGATGCCTTTTGTGTTTCTTTACCCCTAACGAGTTTTCCGTTACCTTACGATTAATTTACTCCCTGACGACGCATGTCCCGACACTAGTCATCGAGATTATTCCCCTATTGATGAAGGAAATGAAGTCCGACACAAGTGGTGGGAATATTCGCGATCCAAAGAGACATGACCGGGTCCAAGGGGAACTTACTCTACTGTCGAACTGATTAATGTATTACTATACCACCTGCGAGGAGGATGGAGCAGAGAGAGAGGAGAAAGACAGAGTATTTATAGTTGGTGCAATCCTTGAGTTCGTCTTGTGCTCGTGGTTTGAATCTCTATGTTTTGGGATAGGAGTAGTAGGTACTTAATGAACTTGTTAATGAGCTGTGCAATGGCCTATACTTATTATATTCTATTAAACGACTCCTACGGAGAAGTGCAGTCCCAGGTAAGCCTGTGTCTACTTAGAAGCACGTAATCCCAGGTCAACTTAAGCAGCAGCAGCAGCAGCAGCAGCAGCAGTAGTCATCAATCATAATTACAGCCTACAAACCAAGCACACCACACTACCCCCCAAAAACGAGCCAAAAAGCAACTTACGAACCAAAAGAAATACGTTGAAATACAAAAGACACCCCCACGTCCAATACAATTTAATTTAGTAAAACAAAATCGCGACCATCTCTCCATATCACGTCATTCCTCAAATCAATTCTTTATTTACTGAAGTGACCTTAGTACCTTCTCAGATCGATCGATCGGGTCTTACTGTATGTAGTACATAGTTTCCTAAGGATAAGACACTTACAATATATAGGATCTGGATCTGAGATAGCAGCAGCAGCAGCAGCATAGGACTATAGTATGTATGCACAATCAAGATACTTTGTTGATGTTGGAATCATCACGGAGTAAAGATCAGCCGGGCTTGGATAGCTGCCTGTACGTACTTAGTTTTCTAGTTTGCTTCCTTAGGCAGTAAATTAGGGGGTGATGTCACGGGCGGAAGAAGTGGCGGTCGGGGCGGTCGGGGCGGCCGGGAGGGAGGGAGGGGGGTGCCACCAAGCGGCCGGATTCCCCGGATTGGTGGGTGGTATTGGGCGCAGCAACCATGTGACCCTTGTCTTTGTTGCCTTATAGAGATTACTTACTAGGACTACATGCTTAGGGACTATGGCTGAATACCATCAGTCAAAGACAGTTTATCTCGTCTACGGCTTCTCTGATAACTCGCTGGTCTGTAGAAATAAGCCGTGCAGTTCATTCTGGCACTTGGGCTCGGCTGAAACCCATTCGGCATGTAGTAGATAGATGATAGATGATAGTATGAGTCTGAAACACCGTGTACAAGAGTCGAGTCTGCGAGACCACTCAGTTGCACGTGGGCTGGTCAATGCGTTTAACAGCAACAACAACACCAACACCAACAGAAAACACAAGAGATGAACAAGCAACCCTTCCCAGTACTCCGATTGCGGGGGCACGTATGTATGTATAAGGGGTTCAGAGGACTCTATCCCTGACCCACGGCCCGCTGAAAGCTCACAACAACAACCATAAGTGAAACCATGTCCATGGCCCTTGAGAAATAACCGAACCAGGCTGAAGACGACCCACAAACCCTCACCTTCGCGCACACAAACAGGAGATAGAAGAACATAGGAAACAAGTCATTACATCGTCATCTGACTCCATCGTAGGATGGATAACCAGCCTAAAAGAGGGAAACGAAAACAGATGCGACGGGCCACTCAGTCTGTGAGTAAGCCCATACAAAAGAAGACCCAGGGAGATCCACGCAGGTACTATGTAAATATCGAAATGATTGAGGACGATGAAGCAAGGCAAAAAGAAGCTCAAAAAAAGAAAGGAATCAAGGATACAACTTCTTTTCTTTGACTTCAGTTGTCGGTCCCGACGCCCTTCTTTTTTGGCTGAATATGTTTTTGCCCGGGGCCAGTAGCATTGGTACCTTGGGAGGCCAAGGCTGTGCTGTCAGTTGGGGGAGGAGCCATGCGAGTCGAGCTGGCTTCGTGCTTTTCGGTCAAGAGGTTCTTTAGCCAGCGGTTCTCCATTTCGAGCTGCGCTACACGCGCCTCGAGAGTTGCATTCTTTTCGGTGGTTTCGCGCACGGTGCGTTCGAGGGCCTGTTCGCGCTGTTTCTTCTTCATGCGAAACCGGGCGCTGGCAGCCGTATTGCGGCGTCGCCGGTCTTCTTCGGCAGCACGGCGGACGCCCTCCTCCTGGCCAAGGGCGGAAGCAAGGTGATCGCCAGGAATCTGCGTGCTGTACTTGCTGTGGTTGATGTGGCCGTTTGGAGGTGAGATGGAAGAGGAGACATCGGAGGGTGTCATAGCACCCGCACCGTGCCCCAGGTCATCGGGAGGACCATATGAAATAGGTGGATAGATGGGATGAGCTGAGTAGGACAGCATTTGGTCTGTATAGAGGAGTCAATACACTTGTCCCTTGGTAGTAGGTAGCGTGGGGTGGTAACACCCAAAGCCAAGAAGTGATATGGAGACAGCAAGAAGGGGGACAATGTTCAAGATCGGAAACAGAAGCAGGGGGAACATGGAGCACTTGAAGGGGGCCTTGGATGATCAAGAAGAGGTAAGCTCGGCATAAGGGTCCGTTAACGACAGGGTTCCCGACGTTGTCATTGGTGTGAACGATTGCGTGCTCAAATAGAGCGCTCATCCAGACATGGGGATGGCAACCCACCAAAACCTCAAGCTAAAGACACCAAAGACGAGCGAAAAGCATAGAAATAGAACCAAGGTGGGTAAGGTGTCCCGGAGCTGCAGAATTTTCGCAATGCAGCGAAAATTAAACAGAATCCAGAGAACTCCCCCGAAAAAGTAAAGGGGGAAAAGTGGTTACAGAGGGTATTCAATGTGGCCATTCTCAGGCAGCCAGAATTAAAGGACGCAGGGAGGATCATGTTCAAGACAATCTGGTCACAAGCAACAGGGACAAGGCATCTGCGGTTACATGCGCTTCCACAGCAACTTTCCAGCATAACAAAGCCATCCAATGCCGTAGGGCTAGCGAAATTAAAGCGAACCACAAAGCACGAAAATTGCGCAAACGATGCAATGATGAGAGTCATAGATCTTGGGAGACTTACCATGATACGGATATCCGCGCACATCGATCGGACTGCGTTCGTCCTCAATGCTATCATACGAACTGACGGAGAGACCGCCCATCCCCTCAGTCTGATCGTAATCCATGTTCAGATTCGAGAAGGCAGCCAGGCCGGCAGAATCTGCGTCAAAGGAATAGTGACGACTCTTGGCCAAGTTAGGATCGTGTCGAGAGAGAAGAAAGTTGAAGTTTTCAAGCCTATCGAAGCTCGAGGCTGTCTGACGAGCGAGGTGCTCATCTGACATATTGGCAGTGGAGGAGGTATTTAGAGGGATTCCGGCCCTTGCCCTCTAAATTAGGTTCGTTTTTGGGTATTTTTCTTTTTCGTAACCGCCTGCCTCCCAAATTGCTTGGTGGCTGCGTCCCGGACAGGCAGGATCCAGAAGTGGTTTAGATGACAACAGAATGGTACAGAATTGACAAGCCAATGTCAAACCCCAGATCAGCGTGTCTAAGAAAATAAAAATAAAAAGGAGGGGAAGGGGTGTGTGTGAGTGTGTGTCTGCGAGTGGAAAAGTAAGGTTCGGAGATAATACAGGTTGGCAGGAATATTTCACAGGATGCAGATTGGGTGACTTGTAGCAAAGATATCTGTTCTGCATTCACTCCATCGCTCGCTATGGTATGGCCCGGGACGGCTAGCCACGTACGCAGAGAAGCACGAGCAGTAATGGGACAATGGGCCGGGAGGGATGACTGGGAGGGAGGGTAGAAGGGGGCGACCGGGAAAGCTAGTCAGGTTGCGATGTGGATCGAGACCAAGCGTGGCCAGATTAAAGAGAGGGGTGGGATTTCAGGTAAGTAGAGTTAGTTGCAGAAGGAGGAAACGACCAGCAAGCAGGACCATGTATCACCAGGGCGAAAAGATGAGAAAAACGAGCGTCAGGCCGGGGAATAAGCATGAAGGACCACGCAGTTGTGGTGATCGTCTCATGCCCGGGCAAGGCTAGTGGATGATCTGATAGAATGGAGAAATGTCGTGATCGCACGCTGTGGTTGGCCAGTCACAGCCTCGGAAATGCCCAAATGATTTCACCGCTTTGGGAGGCGGGCAGTTGCGGAGGAGCCCGGAGAGCGGGAGAGGAGGAGATGGGATAGATAGATATAGTTTCCAGGGGAAAGGAAGAAAAAGTTGGGGAGAGAGGGGTGGGAAAGATAAAACAAAAGAAGATTGGATCGGATAGGTTTTTGGGGAAGAAGGGGGTGCGTGGTCCAGGGTAAAAGAAAAAATACCAGTTACTACTTCCTGACTGTACTTACTCATTCCAGAATGTTAGGGAGAAGGCCCGGGTAGAAGGGAGAGGAGGGGGGGAGGAGCACGGCACTGGGCACTACGCAGTAACGTACTAACTACTAACTACAACTACTTACTACTTACAGTACAATGCGGACGTCAACCTGTTCGATCATCGCCCAGACACGACAAAGACAGGCGAACGCCGTCCGAGAGGAGCGAAAAGGGGAAGTGCCACGGCACGGAGAACCCATTGGTAATCATGGGTAATTCTGATACCCACATTTGATTGTGGCTTAACTATGATTCCAACATCTCCGTTACGAGAACGTGACAGAGAGCCAACGACCTTCAAATCTAACATTATCCGCCGCAGATTAGTATGGCCCGTCTTGGGGTTAGCTTCCCACCAGGGGTTGGACCATGAGCCAATCCCCTTCACTATGCACTGTCTCCTCCCAGATATTAATATTCTCTTCCAGTCCACCCATCGCTGAGCCAGACCTTGGATTCTCCACTGCTCTCACAAAAGCACCTTTGTCCGAGCCCTGGGATATTCTGTTTTGCCTTTCACTATTGCTCGGAGCAAATCATAATCAGTTAAACGCGTTGCTGAATGACGCGGTCCTTCCGGCCGTTGCTTCCTCAATCGAACTTTCGAGGCATCTGGTCAACTAACCATAACTACTACTAACATGCAAGCTTGGCACTTCCG